AACCAGTAATTGATTAGAAAGAGTAATTAATGCTGTGAATGAGTACAAACTTCGCAGATATTGTGAAGGGACTGGTATCGTCTTGGTTTTGCAACTTCACTCGATTATACATGCTAAAGTAGCTTCATTGAGTTAGATATCAAAGCAGGTAAATATGTGAATAAATGGTTTATAGAACCGTCAAGGTGATAAATGAAACACTTGTGCAACATTTGGGTATCATTATTCTGAAAACATCAACTCCAGGCTGAGGGACTGATTATCTTGAGCTCTTCATCTTCCACCTTTCTTTGCATTGGACTGAAGATGTAACTGGCTGGCAAAGTGTTTCCAGAATCAAGATACCGAAGTATTGCACAAGTCTCGTTTATCACGGTAAATATGCATAACCTGAAACAGAAGGAAAAGACTGTCATGGAGTTACATACTGGTAGTGTGTTTTCAAAGTAAAGAGTTTTGTTAAAGCTTTGGTAAAAATTTAAAGCCATCATAGAAATACGTAGTTAATACAATATCTATTTTCCTCTAAGTTGGAAATATGGGAGGATGCAACAGATTCCATAATAGGTGTGACCTACAAGAGTGGCTTACCTGTTCAAACACACTTTAATTTCCAGGTAGTTCCTAATGGAGGAAGCTAATATTTTCATTAAGACTATTATGGAAAATAACTAGGGTGTTCGGGAGAGGGGTGGGATTAAATTATGGGGAATTAAATACAAAATGAGAAGTGACACAGTTACTTTCTGCTGATGATACTGTGTTTATGGGAGATTCTAAAGAAAAATTGCCAAGGTTAGCAGACGAATTTGGGAGTGTGTGAAAAGGTAGAAAGTTGAAAGTGAACGTAGAAAAGAGTAAGGTGATGAGAATATCAAATGATTTAGATAAAGAAAAATTGGATATCAAATTGGGGAGGAGGAGTATGGAAGAAGTGAATGTTTTCAGATATTTGGGAATTGACGTGTCAGCGGATAGATTTATGAAGGATGAGGTTAATCATAGAATTGATGAAGGAAAAAAGGTGAGTGGTGCATTGAGGTATATGTGGAGGCAAAGAAGGGAATGTATGAAAGTATAGTAGTACCAACACTCTTATATGGGTGTGAAGCTTGGGTTGTAAATGCTGCAGCGAGGAGGCGGTTGGAGGCAGTGGAGATGTCCTGTCTAAGGGTAATGTGTGGTGTAAATATTATGCAGAAAATTCGAAGTGTGGAAATTAGGGGAAGGTGTGGAGTTAATAAAAGTATTAGTCAGAGGGCTGAAGAGGGTTTGAGGTGGTTTGGTCATTTAGAGAGAATGGATCAAAGTAGAATGACATGGAGAGCGCATAAATCTGTAGGGGAAGGAAGGCGGGGTAGGGGTTGCCCTCGAAAAGGTTGGAGGGAGGGGGTAAAGGAGGTGTTGTGGGTGAGGGGTTTGGACTTCCAGCAAGCGTGCGCGAGTGTGTTAGATAGGAGTGAATGGAGACAAATGGTATTTGGGACTTGATGAGCTGTTGGAGTGTGAGCAGGGTAATATTTAGTGAAGGGATTCAGGGAAACCGGTTATTTTATATAACCGGACTTGAGTCCTGGAAATGGGGAGTACAATGCCTGCACTGTAAAGGAGGGGTTTGGGATATTGGCAGTTTGGAGGGATATATTGTGTATTTTTTTATATGTATATACTTCTAAACTGCTGTATTCTGGGCACCTCTGCAAAAACAGTGATTGTGTGAGTGAGGTGAAAGTGTTGAATGATGATGAAAGTATTTTCTTTTTGGGGATTTTTTCTTTTTGGGTCACCCTGCCTCGGTGGGAGGTGGCCAACTTAAAAAAAAAAAAAACTAAAAACATGAAAAATACCTAAAAATAACTGAAATTTATCGAAAATAACAAGAAATGACTAAAAATTATGAGAAATAACAAAGAATTTGGAAAAATAACCATAAATTATCAAAAATAAATAAACATTACCCCAAAAAATCACTCCATTTGAACTACTTTTGATGCTACTTAAGAATACGCACTTAGAACCATAAAAAGAGAGAGTTTTAGCATGATACAAGGCTGTTTTTCTCTAGTCTGTTGCTTTCCTGTCTGAGGCGCCTCTTACGGCACATTTATCTTATAAATCTCTCGTAGCCATCTATGAAAGCTGTATGTACAGGAATTTTTCATGTTTGTGGGGATAAATTGATCCAACTGTGTCATCATGACCATTTTCCATTTTGAGAGAAGTGTTTTTGCCCCAAAAAATCCCTGAACTATAGTTCGGCATTTTTCACCATTTCGGCCAGATTTTCAATATTCGTTAAAATCACACCAGGCATACTATTTTCTATGCTGATTCAGAATATATACTTAAAAATGTAAAATGAGATAATTTTAGCATCATATGAGGCCTTAAAGACACCGTTGTATTAGTGCCCAGGAAACTGGGTCCCAGTTATTGAATAGGGAAATACTGATTCAAAGGCAACTGAATTGAGCATGTTCTATAGTAGTAGCCTTGCGCCTGATGGTGACCTCATGAGCTACATAGATTGGTTTGTCGTAGTAAGTGGCAGGTCCAATGAAACCTGCAGACCAGCAAAGAATTGTTATTGTAGTCAAAACCAAATGCTTAACCCACTAGGGACCAGCAAAGAAGTTGTATCAAGTTCACCAGGATATGGGCTTCTGGTCCTCCTCATTCCACAGGAAATATCAGTAATAAAGACTTAACTGTAGATTGATAGGGTACTGATATGCATTTTACCCATGGTCACTTCTGTGCAACTTAGTGTGCCACTGACTGTGGGACATTTTAATGGTGTCCTAGCATTTTCAGTCATATTGGTTAGAATGTTGGTTTTATTACTGCCAGGGAAACTTGCAGAAATATTAGGAGTCATTTGATGTTACCCATTTAAGTTTTTAATTAAAGCAGGATACTTCAATCATAGAGCATATTAGATAGGAGTGAGTGGAGATGAATTGTTTGTTACTTGATGAACTGTTGGAGTGTGAGCAAGGTAATATTTTGTGAAGAGATTCAGGGAAACTGATTAGCCAGACTCGAGTCCTGGAGGTGGGTAGTGCAATGCCTGCACTCTAAAGAAAGGGTTTGGGATATTTGCTGTTTAAAGCAACATTTGAACTGTTGTATCTGAGTGCCTCTGCAAAGACAAGTGATTGTGGAAATGATGGTGAAAGTGTTTCTCTTTTTTGGGGGGGTCACCCTGCCTCAGTGGGAGACTGGAGTTTACCTGGAGAGAGTTCCGGGGGTCAACGCCCCCGCGGCCCGGTCTGTGACCAGGGCTCCTGGTGGATCAGAGCCTGATCAACCAGGCTGTTACTGCTGGCTGCACGCAAACCAACGTATGAGCCACAGCCCAGCTGGTCAGGAACCGACTTTAGGTGCTTGTCCAGTGCCAGCTTGAAGACTGCCAGGGGTCTGTTGGTAATCCCCCTTATGTATGCTGGGAGGCAGTTGAACAGTCTCGGGCCCCTGACACTTATTGTATGGTCTCTTAACGTGCTAGTGACACCCCTGCTTTTCATTGGGGGGATGTTGCATTGTCTGCCAAGTCTTTTGCTCTCGTAGTGAGTGATTTTCGTGTGCAAGTTCGGTACTAGTCCCTCTAGGATTTTCCAGGTGTATATAACCATGTATCTCTCCCGCCTGCGTTCCAGGGAATACAGGTTTAGGAACCTGCTGATGTGTTAAAAATATAAAGTGGGAGAGAGAGCATGAATTATACGAAGAACTAGAACATTTGCAGTATAAGAGGCTATGTGAGAAAGACACTAAATTGCACTTTATTGATGAGAAATATGAAATGTAGGGTGCTGAGGGAAAAATTTTGTTTTGAATTGACTAATTGATGATACTGTGGATGATCAAAATGTAAGTGTATAAAATGTCTGTCTTTTTTTGAAAGTAAGTCGGAAAATGTATTAATCTCATATTTTTATTGATTTAGATATTTTGAAAATTACAGATATGGCAGTGAGAAAGCTTATGGCTTCTGTGGATCAAGAGCTCAAAAAAGAGAACAAAAAATTTAATGACATGTTCAAGAATAGTCTTTTAGTAAAAGAGACTTGATGTACGGTAGGAGCAAGAACAGTCTTATTGTAAGAGATGATGGTAAGAACAATCTTTTTCATATTTACTTAATTATTTGCAGTTTAACTTTACTCAAGTATACTTTATCTCTTGGTAAAATGTATACCCTGAGATATTATGGAGACTGTGCTGTCATAGTTATATACGTGATATACACTGGGCAATTACAAAAAAAAAAAAAAGTCTTTACTAAGTTTGCCATTTGTTTTCTCTCTCGATAGAAATTAGGCTTGTGCTTGCGGTGAGACCTTGAATTCAAGGGAATCTACGTTACATGTAATTTGCCTTGTGTAGTAGATGTGTTCCTCCCCTGCTGAACCTTATAAGCTCAGTCAGGTCATCAGTGCTTGACTTAGCACATTAACCCTTAAACTGTCCAAACATAGATCTACGTTCATGTGTGGGGGGGCTCCAAATGTAGATCTACATTTTTTATATGCTTTCAAATGGGAAAAATCAAGGTCGGAATGCTACGCACGTGAACGTAGATCTACATTTGGACAGTTTAAGGGTTAAGAATCTTGTATACTTTTGTGAACCAGACTCATCACACAAGGAGTATGCATATCACATACACAAAATTGCCAATAGAAATATATCACATTATAGCAAATTTATACAAAACAAACCTGCAAAAAAGTTAGGGGGAGGTAAACCTGTATTTGCAAGTTTAAAGAACATCATTGTCAAGACTATAGAAAACTAAATTGAAAAAATGAGTTATAAAATTAAGAAAACATTTTGCCAAATGTGAATAGGGAAGCTACTTCATAAAAGAAATGAGTTAATTTTTTTTTTTAATGCACCAAAATCATGTGGGTTATAAAGTAGATATCTTTTAAACAATTTCTCTTGCTTGTAAACACTTGGAAGCCTTGATCAGGTTGCCAAACTTTTCATAAAATCTTGCTTTCGAGTTTTTAACAATTAAAATATTTTGAAGGAATGCAAGAATTTGTGTAGCGTTTCTTTTTAAGATTATGGTGTAGAGAGAAAAATGCTAAATATGCATTTTTTTGTAGATGCCATCAATGCCAGTAAGGGGCTCTTGATCCAAGAAATTAGACCTGTTGTCCCCTTCCTTGGACTGAACCTGATTGCCTGTCATTCTCCAGGTGCTGTATGAATCCTGTTATTTTAGGGAGGACTAATCCAAGAAATTGGACGTGTCGCCCCCTTCCTTGGATTGAACCTGATTGTATGTTATTCTCCAGGTGCTGTATGAATCCTGTTATTTTAGGGAGGAATAATCCATGTGTCGTCTAAAGAATGTATAAGGGTAAGTGTGATGATTTTTTTTTTCTCTCATAATCCTCCGTCATAGGTAAGTGCTAAACCCATAGTCATACAGTGCCTGGGATAATTAGTCTGATCCAAGGAAGGTAAAGGTAGCGCTTCAGTGTCTTGGATTAAGTTACCAGTATCCCAGTACCCCCTTGAAGGGCTCCTAGATCAAAAAACACTCAATTGGTGTCTAGCATTTTTGTTTGCCATATTTGATATTCTGGATGGCAGAATGACACTGGGTGATGGTGTCCTGGGGGGTTGAATGCCACTAGGTAGTGGTTTCAAGTTCCACTTTAAGTTGGTGAGCTTACATATATTGTATTTAGGTAATTAAAATGCATCATTAAATCAAACTACAATACTCTAAGGGTACAATTAAGCTTCATATACCATCTGAATATGGTAGTTTGTAGGTCACTCTTAATGTACTTCTGTATAACACCTACAGGTTAATGCTTCCCAATGATTATAATAAAAATTCTAGTTTGCAATAAATGTATTAATGGAGGTTACATAAAAACAACATTGTCAAAATTTGAGTGTTCTATTTTTTCCATGCTATAAAGCTTTAGTTTAAATTAATAAGTGCTAATCAGTTAACTTTTTTTTTTTTTTTAACAAACCGGCCATATCCCACCAAGGCAGGGTGGCCCAAAAAGAAAAACGAAAGTTTTTCTTTTTAAATTTAGTAATTTGTACAGAAGGGATTACTAGCCCCTTGCTCCCGGCATTTTAGTTGCCTCTTACAACACGCATGGCTTACGAGGGAAGAATTATGTTCCACTTCCCCATGGACATTAAATAAAACTTAAATTTCTATCAGATCAAATTAAAAGAAAATGAGGTACCTCCTGAAGAAAGAGGACTGTGAGAATTACAAGAATTATATTAAAATAAGCAAATATATTTATAGTCCATATTTGGTTAACCAGTACAGTATTTGGTAACATTGTCAGTATCCCACCAAAATAGGAATATGCATTCATGGTCACTAATTTTACAATGATATATCTCGTAACAACCAGTGCTGGAGCACCCCCATGAAGTTTTATCAATTATTTCAATTGTAACAGTCTTTGTGCTTCCAAATGCATCTTGCCTATATCTAATTATTTTGATTCAAACTTGTGCAAAGAGTAAAATGCTATACCAGTGCCAGAAGTCCTTGGCTTATTGAGGTCCCCTAGCAAGTTATTTCACCATCCCTAGAATGTGACAACAGCAGTCAGTTGTAACCAAGTACAATACATATTTACTACAGTGATGGAAAAATGCAGAGGTTTGCCTGTATGTTTCACACTGTCCCAGATTCTAACTCAAGACATTTTGGTTTAGTCTCTCTAACCCCCTGGCATTCCTTTAACATTATTTTTCCTTGTATCCACCTTACAAACTCTACCTATTTCAAAGCTGGCTTGCAGCAGTTACATACTGTAATTTTATCTTATAGCCTTCAGGAGCTAAAAACTAAAATTGTTAGCAAAATTGTGTGAGAAACCCTGGTTACCGAACACCTGGAACATGTCTATAAAAAAAAATGTACATGGACTACAATCTTCATTACCAGAAATGTTACACATTGAGAGCTTGCAATGAATTATTCATTTACAATTCAACATTTATAAAAAATATATTTAGTTCTTCACAGAACTGCACAACCATCTTGCCTAAACACTCCAGAATTATTACATTTTTTAAAACTATATATATACATATAAATACCCTACTTTTAAACTTCATTTAATTTATACATAGCCAAGAAAATAGTGACTATACAAACTTTATAAATGTGAAAGTACAAAAAATCATTCCATGAAGTTTAATTAAGTGTTTAACATTGCATGTGTACTTAAAATAGTTTTCTATATAAAGATGTCAATGTTTTGTATTCAATTTTACCTTGCCACTTCCTAAAATAATGAAACCAAGAAGTCTTGTGTGATCACATGTTCTGTAATTTAGCTTTTCCATAATACAAAATATACAAAAACCATAAATCTATTATACTGTATTGTAAATAATAATAGGCTGCAATAAAAATGAGTTATAACTGCAATATTAAAATTGAGATTGTCTTCATTAAGTAAATGCCCACAAATTTTATACATTAATATATTTTAAAAACTGTTTAATGAAAGTGCATTTACCAGTATTATACTTCATTTCTTTGGCTTTCTGTGGAACTATTTAAATTTAGAGTACCATAATAAGAAGGTGGTGTTTGCTGAGGGGTTTCATGTGCTGATGCTGATGGAGTGCTTATATCTGCTGGCTCAGTCCATCTCCTTGAAAAAGACCGAGGAGTAGGTAATCCTGGACTGTCTTCATGTTCTCTGTCTGCTTCCAGCAACCAACCAGGAATTTCATCACGATACATTCGACGCTGAAGGACAACTCTTGTTCTTCTTCGTTTACCTTCGTATTGTACAATACCCTGAAAAAGTGCATTTATTGAACTATTCTGTACTATCATTGACTGATGAGGTAATTTAAATTAGATGTTGGTAAGAAGTAAAAAAAAATAACCCCTCTAGCTTTTTTAATCATGGGGAATCCTATGGGTTTAGCACTCCATGATTATAATACAGCCTCTCCTCACTTAGCGACATACTCATTCGCTGACAACTCAGACTTACGACGAGCTCTGACCAGTATACATGCCTAAATAATGAATAGAGATGATTTCCTTTATCTGTTTATTACAATATACAGTGCTCTACAGCCTCTCCTCCTCTTCAAGGGGGGCTCCTGGGCGTGGTGAAGAGGCTCTTAGTCTGAGGAATTAGACCTGTGGGTCTCCTTCCTCAGACCGAACCTAATTACCCCCCTATCCCATCCTCCCCTTTTTCCTTTCCTCCTCCTCCTCCCTTTTGGCCTTTGGGATTTTTTCCCACAGGCACGCTAGTTCCTAGGTAGGGGAGAGGGTACCAGGCTCCATCCCATTCCGTTGAGGTTCTTGGCGGTGGCGTAGTTTGCCGTGGAATCTGGATCGCCTGGGGATGTCCCGATCCCTCTCCGGTATCCCGGAGAGTGGCGATGGGTGTATCTCTGAAAGCCACCTTTCGGATTCCGGGGGTGGTGGCCGAAGGAGGTATGCTTTGTGGCGGATATCCGGCCGCCCTCTCTTTTGTCCACCGAGGTAGCTTGGCAGATGTGAGGTTGCTATCCCGGATTGCTAGTTTACTGGCATGATGGGTAGGGTATGGCACGGGTTCCATGCTGCATCTACGCTACTTGCGGTGCTGAGGTCCTCTTGGGCGCGGAGGGAGATTTCTAGCCCTTTCATTCCTCCTAGGAACTATCCCTCCCTGGTGCCCCCTTTATTCTTTTTTTTATTTTTATTTTTTTTTCTTAAAAACAAAAAGAAAATAAGAAAAGAAAGAAGTAATCTAACCATGGCAGCCCTAGTCCATGAACCTGCTACCCCCGGGCCCCTTCTTGATACCGCACCCCGTTCTGACCCCGCCTCGTCTTTGGACCACTCTTCAGACACTCCTCATACCTCTGTACCTCTTGCTGGTGCTGTTTCCTCACCCGCTTCAGGTACTGAGGTCTCGACTGACTCCTTTGATTTATCTGACCTCCGCTCTCCTTTGACTATGCTTCTGGCCTCTCCCTCTACGGTGCGGCAATTTTCGAATCGCCGGCCCGTTCCACGTCAGACCAATTCTGGTCCCACACCTATACGCCAACGACCTGCTGATGATACTTCTCCACCTTCTCTTTCTTCTCAGAAAAGATCAACACGTCCTGCACTCCCCTTCCACGCTCAGTTTCAGACTGCACAATGGACTAAATTCTTCACTTTACGACCAACTTCCTCTACCGCCTATCTTTCTGACCACAGTATTGGCAAGGCACTCCTATGCCATGTTGGTAAAGATATTTCTTTTCATGCTCTTAAGAGCGGTACGCGCATCATCACTGTACAGAATGCTACCCAAGCTCATGATCTTTCTCTTCTTTCCCATATAGATACTGTTCCTGTCACTATTGAAAAACATCATTCCCTCAATTCTTGTAGTGGTACAGTCATTCTGCCCCATACCATAGTTCAACAAAATTTCCAGACATGTGGCAATGACATTCTTGAACAGCTGGAACTCCAAGATCTCCCAATCCTCAAGGTAGACACTTATGTTCTTCCTGCCCGCGGGCGGAGACGATACCCTAGCAATGTGGCTCGTTTAACTTTTGACAGCCGTGAACTCCCATCCTCAGTTTATGTAGCAGGACATCGGTTACAAGTTCGAAAGGTGATCCCTACACCGCAACAGTGTAGAAATTGCTGGCGATTTGGCCATCCAGCGAAATATTGCAGATCCATAGCCGAATGCCCAGTCTGTGGTGCCGATGACCATTCTAATACGTCTTGCAATCGACCTCCCTCTTACCTTAATTGTCATGAGGCTCGCCCTTCGTACTCTCACCGTTGCCAAGTCTACTTAAATGAGCGGGAAATCCATTACCTCAAAGAGACAGAAGGTCTCCCTTATGCCATGGCAGTTTCTCACTCCGCCTCCGAGGGAGACTACCTCGTGTTTCTTATTCCCGTGTTTCAAAACGTCCCCCCCACTTCTGGGGTCCCATCTTCTGCAGCCTCCTCTGTGGTTACCTCTCCCATATCTAATTCTTTTGCTGTCCTAGGCTCAGACGTCCCTACTTCAACGCCTCAGTCTGTTCACGCTTCTTCGTGTTCTCCCTCACAAGCCTCAGTATCGACGAGACCTCGTACGACACCTCCTCCCAATCGTCCCTCTACTTCTCAGAAGTCAAAAAAAGGTCCTTTAACCCCTCCTTCCCTACTTCCACCTCCTCATTTTACCTTCCCTGTCTCTGTACCGGGTTCTTTCCCTCTCACTGACTCTGTTACAAGTGTAGAGGTTCACCCTCCTCCTCGTACTATACCTACCTTCCCTGTTCCCTCCCAGGTTTCTTCCTCTTCTGCCACCTCCCAGGTTTCTGCCTCTTCTGCCCCCTTCCACGCTTCTTCTCCAGTTCCCTCCACCCTTTCGCCCCCCTCCCTACCTTGGTACAGTCCATTACCGTTCCAATCTTTACTCATCCTTCCCCTACCATCTCCAATATTGTTTCCCATACGACGTCTCTGAATTCCGAAACACTTGAAGCAATCTCTGAATATATTGCAGAGACCAAACCATCAATGGACACTGATCCACCCTCTGTTCCTTCTCTCTCCTCTCCTCAATCTGCGCAACTCCTTTCTTCACAGCGCACCGTTCCTTCGCTGCTTGAACGTTTTCCGCTGCCTCCGCATGTGGACTTTTCTAACCCCTCTAGTCCGTAGGAACCCTTACCTGCGGATTTCAAGTATATTTATCATTGCCAATCATGGTCTATTTACAGTGGAATATACGCGGCCTCAGGGGTAAGCGGGGTGAACTTCAGATGTTACTCTCCCAGTTTTCCCCTGTTGGTGTTTGCTTACAGGAACCAAAATTACACTCTGCTGTTATCTCTCCCATCTCAGGCTATAATTTATTGTATTCTTCAGATCCTTTTCCTGATGGGACCTTTAATGAAAGTGCCCTTCTTCTACGCACTGATATTCCGTACCATCAACTATTTATTCGTACTTCGCTGCATTACACAGCAGCCCGTATCCACTTGCATAGGTGGTATACGCTGTGTTCTTTATATCTCTCTCCTTCTCGGGCATTATCTATTCCGGATATTGCCTTTCTTGTTTCGTCATTACCGCCACCGATTCTGTTACTTGGCGATTTTAATGCCCATCATTTCCTCTAGGGGGGGGGGGTCTCACTGTGATTCCTGTGGCATTCAGTTAGAGGCTCTTCTTGCCACCCACCCCCTCCATGTTTTAAATACAGGTACTCACACCCATTTTGATCCTCGGACTCACACTCTCTCTTGCATCGATCTCTCAGTCTGCTCTTCCTCCGCCACATTAGACTTCACTTGGTTTGTTCTCCTGGACCTACATGACAGCGATCATTTCCCAATCATTCTTACTTCCCCTTCATATTCACCACCTCTTCGCATCCCACGCTGGCAATTTGATCAGGCAAATTGGAACCTTTACTCACACCTAACTGTTTTTAGAGAGGTTCCTTCTTCGTCCTCCATTGATGAGCTTTTACACCTCTTCTCGTCCTCCATTTTAACCGCAGCTTCTAATTGTATACCCCAAACTTCGGGCAGGCATTCTCAGAAATGCGTGCCTTGGTGGTCTCCTGCTTGTGCTCGTGCAGTACGTTTGCAACACGCTGCATGGGGCAGGTACCGGTACAATAGAACCACGGAGAGACTTCTTGATTTTAAGCAGAAGCGTGCGATCGCTCGCCGTGTCATCCGTGACGCTAAACGCACTTGCTGGCGAGATTATGTCTCCACCATCACCTCTGCTTCCTCTATGAGTGCAGTCTGGAAAAAAGTACGAAAACTGAGTGGTAAATATTCTCCTGACCCGGCTCCTGTTCTGCGGGTTGCCGGTGTTGATATAGCAAACCCACTAAATGTTGCCAATGAAATTGGCAATCATCTGGTCCGTATTTCTCAGGGACTCCATCTATGCCCCTCGTTTCTTTCCTCAAAATCTGCCAGAGAGTTAGCACCCTTGGACTTTTCTTCTCTCAGAGAAGAACAGTATAATGTGCCTTTTACACTTCAAGAACTGGAGGCAACACTCTCAGCTTGCCGATCATCGGCAGCTGGGCCCGACGACATTCATATTTGTATGCTACAACATTTACATCAGTCAGCCCTTGCAGTTCTATTACGCCTTTACACTCTTATTTGGTCACAAGGAGTTCTTTCACAGCTGTGGAAATCTGCCATTGTTCTCCCTTTCCGCAAACCAGGCACTACGGGACATGAAGCCTCCCACTATCATCCCATTGCTCTTACCAGTGCAGTTTGCAAAGTGATGGAACGCCTGGTAAATAGACGTTTAGTGTGGTATTTAGAGACACACAAGTCTCTCCACTCGTCAATATGGCTTTCGTAAGGGACGTTCTACCATAGACCCCTTACTACACTTGGATACGTATGTTCGTAATGCCTCTGCGAATAACCACTCAGTTATTGCCATATTTTTTGACCCTGAGAAGGCATATGACACAACTTGGAGGTATAATATTTTGGCCCAAGCCCACTCCTTAGGCCTCCGAGGCAATCTACCATCCTTCCTTAAGAACTTTTTAAGTGATAGACATTTCCGTGTTCGGGTTAATGTGCTCTCCCCGGACTTTATCCAAGCTGAAGGTGTCCCCCAGGGATGTGTTCTGAGCACAACACTTTTTCTCCTTGCTATTAATGATTTGGCCTCTAGTCTTCCATCAAATATTTGGTCATCACTCTATGTTGATGACTTCGCTATTGCATGTGCAGGCGCTGACTGTCACATCATTACAGTTTCTCTCCAGCATGCGGTCGACTGTGTTTCCAATTGGGCCACCACACATGGGTTTAAATTTTCCAGCACTAAAACCCACCAAATTACTTTCACTAGACGCTCTGTCATCTCCGATCATCCTTTGTACCTCTATGGCTCCCGTATCCCTGAACGTGATACAGTCAAGTTTCTGGGCCTCCTCTTTGACCGTAGGTTATCCTGGAAACCTCACATTACTTCTCTGAAATCAACTTGTCACAGCCGGCTGAACCTTCTTAAAACCCTTGCTCATCTTTCATGGGGAGCTGATCGTCGAACCCTCCTTCGCCTACATTCCACCCACATTTTATCGAAACTTGATTATGGTGACCAGATTTATTCAGCGGCATCTCCTGCTACTCTCTCTAGCCTTAACCCCATTCATCACCAAGGATTACGTTTATGCCTTGGTGCTTTTCGCTCTTCCCTTGTTGAGCACCTCTATGCAGAAGCGAACATTCCATCCTTATCCGATCGCCATGATGCCCATTGCCTTCGCTACTATGTACGCTCTCATGATCCCCGCAATCCTTCCATTTATAGAATGGTCACTGATATTAGTAGACATTATTTGTTCGCTGCCCCTGTTTACTCCGTCCCTTCTCTCTTCGCCTTCTTTCGCTCTTGTCTTCTCTTCAATTACCACCTTTCTATGTTCATGTAGCATCTCACTTTTCCCTACCCCCCTGGGAAATTCCAGCTGTTCGAGTCTGTTCTTTTTCTCTCCCTTGCTCGAAAGCCCAACTGTCTATGGTCGCTTCCCGCTCTCTTTTTCTTGACCACTTCCACTCTCATTCTCATGCCATTGCTGTGTACACAGTTGGCTCTAAGTCTTCTGACGGCGTAGGATTCGCAGCAGTTTCCGGACAGCGTCGTACGAGGGCATTTACTATCTTCGGCTAGTATTTTTACTGCTGAATTGTATGCCATCCTTGCAGCACTTATCCGTATTGCATCTATGCCTGTGTCATCATTTGTGGTTGTCTCAGACTCCCTTAGCGCTTTACAGGCTATACAGAAATTTGATACACCTCACCCCTTAGTTCTCCGTATCCAACTTTGGCTACGCCGCATCTTTACCAAGCATAAAGATATTGTTTTTAGTTGGGTCCCTAGTCATGTTGACGTATAGGGCAATGAACAGGCAGACACTGCTGTGCGGTCAGCAGTACATGACCTACCAGTTTCATATAGAGGTATTCCATTTACGGACTATTTTGCTGCAATATCTTCCCACCTTCACACCCGTTGGCAACAACGTTGGTCTACTATGCTCGGTAACAAACTTCAATCCATTAAACCGAGTATAGGTTACTGGCCGTCTTCTTATCACCAGTGTCGAGGTTGGGAGACTACTCTCTCCCGTCTTCGCATTGGCCATACTCGTCTTACTCATGGATATCTCATGGAGAGGCGCCCTGCTCCTCTCTGTGAGAATTGCCAGGCTCCATTATCAGTCAGCCACATTCTGTTGGACTGCCCACTTTATCAACGAGCACACAGAATTTACCTCCGTCGTCGTCTTCGCTCCGCTGCTCTCTCTTTACCTTCCCTTCTCGCTGATGGACCCACGTTTCATCCGGACTCTCTCATTGACTTTTTGACAACAACTGACTTACTTCACAAATTCTGATACCTTCAGCCCTTTCTACCTCAATCTCTTGCTACCTTCTACCCCCGTACTATCCCCTGCCCCGCTGTTTTCTGTAACCTACTGATCATCCCTCCTCCCTTCTGCCGCCCAATACCCTCGCTTCCTTCCCTACCCTGCAGCGCTGTATAGCCCTTGTGGCTTAGCGCTTCTTTTCGATTATAATAATAATAATGGGAATCATTGACAAGCAAATGTGAAAGGTGAGAAAGTTCAATTACTGCACTTCTATCTCATCGGTTATCAAGATTGCACAAAGTAGCTAACTCAAAGGCACCAACTCACTAGTTGGCGAGGACTCTTGACCTTAGGAAATGGACCTATGCTCCAATTTCTTTAATCAAGCCTGAATGCCTTCCATTCCTGTATCCCCCCTTTAGGTTTAGCACTCGTCCCATGAATATAAGAACAAACTCACTAGAGAAACCATATTACACAAATTCTTAACTGTTACAGGGGCTCTTGGTCCAGGAAATTAGACCTGCTGTCCCCTTGGATCAAATCTGAATGCCTCATATTCTCCTTGACACTGACTCCTACTGGTTTAGTATTTCCCCATGATTATTTTTTTAATTTTTAACACATTGGCTGATTCCCACCAAGGCAGGGTGGCCTGAAAAAGAAAAACTCATCATTCACTTTAGCACTTCCCCCATGAATATAATAACAACAACTAACTGTTATAGGTAAACTACTTAACTTGCTTTCTCAATAATCTATCAAAAATAAATTTCCTTCTGTATTCAAACTCCTACAAATTTAGTGATTCCTTGTGAAAATATAACTACTGAAAATATATCACCCTACAGCTTTCATTAGCCTAGATGGTGCCTAGTCATTAACGTCCCAACATCACTGAGCAAACCTTATGAGTTTTTCACACAGTTTATCATAATAGCTTGATTAGCTAAAAGTATTTTTTGTATTGCATTGTAAATTAATATTTTTTAATCTCAATCATGCATGTATATTTTTATTAATCAGGAGAAAGCAGTTAACCCACAGGGGTCATATAGCACCTGGAAATGGGAGACATTCAGGTTTGATTTAGAGAATGGGAGGACAAGTCCAGTTCTTTGAATCAAGAGCCTCCCTTTGTATATCTTGAAGATGTAGTTTTATTTAGATTAGGTATAGTAATAAGGGAGAGGCAAAGTATTGGAATCCTCACTAGATAAATGCATTCTGGAGAGTATGAGAGTAGGCAGCTTATGAAATTAAGATGATAGCAAAGATGGAATAAAAATTAGTCCAAAGTTGAGATGCATAGTAATAAATATCAGTAACTGTTTTCTTAAATATTATGCCATACCTGAGTTTCTAGAGCTCTGGCATACTGCTGGAGAGTTGGAGTATCTGCAGCACTACTATATACAAATCTTAGTTCTTCTTTTGTTAATCCAACATTAATACATACATTCTCTTCATCTGAAAACATTTTTTTTATTAGTACATACATTCTCTTCATCTGAAAACATTTTTTTTATTAGTACATACATTCTCTTCATCTGAAAACATTTTTTTTATTAGTCTTGTCTGTTAACATTAATCAAGCATAGAATTATTTGTCAGCATGCATCTTTTAATGCTATCCAGTATTTGTATGACTGTATACAGGAATACCTCATTAAATACTGCCCCTACAACTATTACTCACCTACATGCAGAATAGTGTAATATGACTGCTATGCTTTTAGTCTAAGATTTACCCTCAACATACAGTATTATATTTTGTTGAAAATAATAAAAGAAACTAGTATTGCACAACAGAAAGTTTTCAATGTGACTGACTGACTTTTTCTACCATAAGAGAAATATGGGCAAGGGCATCATTTTAAATGTTTTCTAGAAGTTTTAGTATATCAAGGTCAGCGCCCTGCACATTTTTTTTCTTCTCATACCAAGATATGCAGCATTCAGTTTTGCTGGATTCTACCTGAGGTGGCCAAAGCAATGGAGCAATGTGCCTATGAAACTCTTTGTTTTAAGCTATAGAGAGTACGATAAGACAAGCGCCATCACTTAACTACGTACTTATCAGTTGATGCTATCCAAACTTCCACAACATTTTTCTACTAAGTCACATCACGTAATGTTACATGCTGAGTGTTAATGTATAGAATTCTATACCAGTGTGCTAACGGACTTATGCTTTTGCAAGTAAATTTATGGTCAACTATTTTCCTTCCTGAAATCCTAGTTTCTTCTTATTATTTTTTTATTATCACACTGGCCGATTCCCACCAAGGCAGGGTGGCCCGAAAAAGAAAAACTTTCACCATCATTCACTCCATCACTGTCTTGCCAGAAGGGTGCTTTACACTACAGTTTTTAAACTGCAACGTTAACACCCCTCCTTCAGAGTGCAGGCACTGTACTTCCCATCTCCAGGACTCAAGTCCGGCCTGCCGGTTTCCCTGAACCCCTTCATAAATGTTACTTTGCTCACACTCCAACAGCACATCTCCATTCACTCCTATCAAACACGCTCACGCATGCCTGCTGGAAGTCCAAGCCCCTCGCACACAAAACCTCCTTTACCCCCTCCCTCCAACCTTTCCTAGGCCGACCCCTACCCCGCCTTCCTTCCACTACAGACTGATACACTCCTGAAGTTATTCTGTTTCGCTCCATTCTCTCCACATGTCCGAACCACCTCAACAACCCTTCCTCAGCCCTCTGGACAACAGTTTTGGTAATCCCGCACCTCCTCCTAACTTCCAAACTACGAATTCTCTGCATTATATTCACACCACACATTGCTCTCAGACATGACATCTCCACTGCCTCCAGCCTTCTCCTCGCTGCAACATTCATCACCCATGCTTCACACCCATATAAGAGCGTTGGTAAAACTATACTCTCATACATTCCCCTCTTTGCCTCCAAGGACAAAGTTCTTTGTCTCCACAGACTCCTAAGTGCACCACACACCCTTTTCCCCTCATCAATTCTATGATTCACCTCATCTTTCATAGACCCATCCACTGACACGTCCACTCCCAAATATCTGAATACATTCATCTCCTCCATACTCTCTCCCTCCAATCTGATATCCAATCTTTCATCACCTAATCTTTTTGTTATCCTCATAACCTTACTCTTTCCTGTATTCACTTTCAATTTTCTTCTTTTGCACACCCTACCAAATTCATCCACCAATCTCTGCAACTTCTCTTCAGAATCTCCCAAGAGCACAGTGTCATCAGCAAAGAGCAACTGTGACAACTCCCACTTTATGTGTGATTCTTTATCTTTTAACTCCACGCCTCTTGCCAAGACCCTCGCATTTACTTCTCTTACAACCCCATCTATAAATATATTAAACAACCACGGTGACATCACACATCCTAGTTTCTTCATTATATTAAAAATTTTAAAACATCATTTACTAATACGTATACTCATAACATCTTGAGTTAACCCTGAATGTTGAGCAGATTATACATGTTCTTAATTTCCTAAATAATCGAGCAACTATAAGTATCTATAAGTATCACTGGAGAGGACAATAAAAATATATAGGCATGTAAAATATATATTGCATATTTAAGCATTAATTTATATTAATTCTGAATTTAAATAAATACACACACATTTGAGCCAATTTCAAACTAATTTCTTCATTCAGAAGTCAGCATTTTTGAAAGATAGGTGGGGGTGGTGCAATCTGGAGGATCCTTTAAATTGTGATTTCTATGCACTGCTTGCAAGACATATTGAGTGATGGTGAATGAATTTCCTTCTTTGGATCACCCTACCTTGGTGGGAAATGATCAGTGTGATAAAAAAAAAAATTTAACTGCTGTATACGTCATCATCTTACCCCCATCCTTATCTCCTTTCACTGTCTGGTTGTATTCCATGCGAAATGTGAATGCCTCCAGAATAAAAGCGACCACAACTGACATGACAACCATCATTACTAAGTAAAACAGCATGAAGTACAGCCTGGCCCAATCATTCGTTACTGCTGCATAACCTGAAAACACCAAGATAATTATTCCTAATTGCATACATGGTACAGTATTTTTTAAACCTGGAATAATTAACTGGCTCAAAAAAATGACCAATGTGTTAATTTTTTTTTTTTTCAAGTTGGTCATCTCCCACCAAGGCAGGGTGACCCAAAAAGAAAATACTTTCATCATCATTCAACACTTTCACCTCACTCACACATAATCACTGTCAAAAAAAAAAGTTAATAAATGAACTAGAAATATAATCATTAACCAGGTATACATAAACTGTTAATGAAAAAAATACTGATCTTCATAAACATATACTATATATAGATTGTGAAGGAGGGGCAGTATTTTAAGGGTTCTTCTAACTTCAAAGGCCTGGTCAACCAGGCTGTTGGTGTTAGTGTAACCACTAGCCCACATAACCATCACAGCCTGGGTGATCTGGCACTTGGTGGAGGTAGTGGACAAGTTGCAAAGTATTTATTACATGTTTGTATTTAGTGTTATTTAATGCTGACACAGTAGAAATCAAATGTTCTTTGTCAAATACTTACTTCTGCACTGCATCTTTATTATGTAAGGCTTTATTGTTTAAATTTCACATAATTTTAGAACTAATAAATACAAAAAATTTTTATACCTGCTACCTCATTTAGAAAGGTTAGGTAATTTTTTTTTCTGTTTCTTAGCCATTTGACATCTGAATTTAGTGGTGTTTCTAGTTTTGCCGAACCTTTTGGAACGTAACCCACACGAATTTGTAGACACAAGTGTATATTTAAATTTACATGTGAAATCATTCCTCTAGCCTGCAAAGACCTTTTAGTTTAAGTAAGATTCTTAAATTTCCAGAAACATTAGCATCTATAAGCATGAGATCCTAGTGCCTGCTTGTAATGTGGCTTCTAGGAAAAAGAATGCCATGTCTAGTCCACTAGAAATCATACGAGGTTAACTAAATTTCCAACTGCCTAGAAATAACTTTGTTTACCATTACTTAATTTTAGTCCCTTATATATTTTCTCCTTTATTTTAGCTTTATATAACTACCCTAGTTTATATATTCACAATTGTTAAAATAATCAAGGTGCTATTCTCAGGTGCTAAAGTAGAATAAGTTCACAATTTTGCCATTATATTCCAAAGCTCATTTATTTGATTACCACTTTATTGGTCACCACAACTTATATTAGTCCCTTTTATATTATTATTTTATACTTTAATTCTAACTTTAAAGAATTACCTTTATAGTACTATCTACTATCATATTCCCAAGCTCCATTATTTTATCATCACTTTATTTGTATTAGTCCCTTTTTTATAGCTCATTATTTTACATTTGTTAAATAATTCAGGTGCATTTTTTAGCTTAAGACTATTTACTTTGTTTTATACTTAATTTCTACTATAGATTCACTACAAATCTTATGATTACAAGCATTGATCCTGATACCAACCTCTTATTTAATGATTTAAAATTGAATCAAACGTTACTGTAATTACTACACTGCAGAACAATCAAAGGCACTTCTCAGTGCCAACAAAAAACATAACTATCTTTAACTACAATATCAGATCTTTAAGCAAGCATTACGATGACCTCATAGCATTACTAAATCCTTTTACATGCCAATATGCCCATCTTTACACTAACTAAAACCCTGGTTTAAAGCCTGTTTAGTACAGATGTCATGCCATTCCTGGTTACAAAAGCCATACACAACTGTAGCCAGACCAACAAGGGGGTGGCACAGCCATATACTACTCAGACCAACTAGAATGTATCACTAATACTTGCACAAGGGATAAAATTTTGGGGAATATATAATAGCCAAATTAAATCCAAATACCTACAAAAACCTCTCACATTGATAAACATCTACAGATTTCCCACAGTCAAACATTCCAAATTTAGTCAAACCTAGGAAGTATGATAACTGATGCACGCTTGAACAAAGATCACTTATACTCTCAGGTGACTTCAATATAAATCTCCTGCAAGACCAGGACCCACACGTTACTGAATTCACAAACACAATGAGTAACTGTATGTTGCTACCAACAGTAAAAACCTACAAGAGTTACAGAGACTAGTGTTTCCCTATTTGGGACCACATCTGGACCAACACCATACCCCCTTTTAAAATCAGGCATAATTCCCAGATAATACCACAGACCACTCCCCTATTTTTCTCAAAAACAACCTCTTGGTAATTACCCCAAGACACTACTAAAGTTCACCTTCAGACTTCACAATGGGGCAGCCATTAAAAACTTCACAACAGCAGTAGCAAACATTGACTGGCACACTGAGCTAGGGAAAACTATACAGATATTGACGAATGTATAATAATTTTCTAAAAAAGACCCAATACCTCTATAACAAGCACTGCCCTAAAAAAAATAAACAGATGACAGCTAGAGACTGAACAGTCCCTGGTTAACACCCCGCATTCTCATATTCCATAAATACAAAACACCAATATGAAAAACAGTACAGAATGGGTCACATAACCAGAGGGCCAAACAAAACGTTACTCGTCAAATCCTAACCAGCCTGATAAGAAGGGCAAAAAAATTGTATTATGAGAACAGATTATCCAACTTACGAGGTGATATAAAAAAGACCTGGAAAACCCTATCAAAATTTAGGAACAAAAAGTTATCACGAAATAGCGAAATAAAAAATTTGCAAAATCAGATGAACCCAACTCCCACCAACAGAAACAGCAAATAGACTCAATGGCTCTTCTCCACTATAGGACAAAACCTTGCCCAAAAAAATCCCAAGTCAGATACCCCTCCAAATGACTACCCCACCGGCAACTACCCGAACACCCCTGTTCCTAGCTCCGACTAACCCATACGAAGTCTCCCTTATTATCAACACATAAAAAAAAAGGCAGGAGATTTAAATACCTTACCACCCTTTATATACAAAAAAGTGTCACAAGTGCTATCACCAATCATTGCAACACTCTTTAACAAATCCATTGAATCCTCCACCTTCCCTACAGTACTCAAAATAGCAAGGGTCACCCCAATCCACAAAGGAGGAGACCAAACAGAGTTGAATAACTATAGGCCAATATCCAACTTACACCCTCTCTCAAAAATCTTCGAAAAATTAATTCATAAACGAATCTACTCCTACCTTATCTCCCAAAACATACTCAACCCCTGCCAATTTGGATTCAGGCCAAATAAAAATACTAATGATGCTATTATACACATGCTAGAACATATATACACTGCAATAGAGAAAAAAGAAGTCCCACTGGGGATCTTCATTGACTTACGTAAAGCTTTTGATACAGTTAACCATGACTTGCTCCACGTAAAATTGTCACACTATGGTATAAGAGGGCACTCCCTCAACTACCTCAAGTCATACCTCAGCAACAGAAGCCAATATGTGTATGCAAATGGGGCAAACTCTTCTGCACAACCAATTACAGTTGGTGTCCCACAGGGAAGTGTCCTTGGCCCTCTTCTCTTTCTCCTATACATAAATGACCTACCAAATGCTTCGCAATTACTCAAACCCACACTATTTGCAGATGACACTACATACGTCTTCTCCCACCCGAGCCCAGTCATGCTAGCCAACACTGTAAACACCGAATTACAGAAAATATCTACCTGGATGAGGACTAACAAACTTACACTAAACATTGACAAAACCTACTTCATTCAGTTTGGTAACAGAGCCACAGATGTCCCTCTTAACATAATGATAAACGGATCACCTATCACAAAGTTAACAGAGGGAAAATTCTTAGGAATCCACCTTGATAATAGACTCAAATTTCATACACATATACAACAAATTTCTAAGAAAATTTCCAAGACTGTAGGCATACTATCGAAGATACGGTACTATGTTCCACAGTCAGCCCTCCTGGCCCTATATCACTCTCTTATTTACCCCTATCTCATCTATGGAATTTGTGCATGGGGCTCAACAACAAGTAACCATCTCAGACCACTAATTACCCAACAAAAGGCTGCAGTTAGAATGATAACAAATTCTCACTATAGGCAGCACACTCCACCAATATTCAATACACTAAACCTACTCACCATACAAAACATCCATACTTATTACTGCACCTATTACATACATAGAACACTTAACTCTGATATTAACCCTCCCCTCAAACATCTCCTTGCCAACCTCAACAGAACACATGACCATAACACAAGGCACAGATCACTCTTTGATGTTCCTCGTGTCCATCTCACACTATGCAAAAACTCAATGCACATAAAAGGCCCTAAAATCTGGAATTCATTACCTGTAAATATAAAAGAAACACTACCTGTTTATAAATTCAAGTCTCTTCTCAAAGATCACTTACTCACCCAAAACCAAATAAATACTGAATAACTGAACCTTATAAATTGTATATCTTAAATGTTTCTCACAATTATATCACATAAATGTTAAACCTAAAACCCAATCTAACTTTATTATTTTTTAAATACACTACCTAACAGAATACTCCATTCTACTGAATGTACAACAATGCATACAACCATATGACCTGTCTTTGTAATACTCACTTGTGCTTTATAGTAATCTGTTTACATTAAAGTTTTATCACTGATTTCATCATTGCTTAGTTAATCTTAAGTTAATTTTAAGCCAGCCCGTAATGCTATGCATAGTATAAGTGGCTTTGGCATGCTGCTCTTATCTGTATTTTTTGTACCTCTGTATGTGTGCTCAAATTTTAAATAAATAAATAAATAAATCTAAAGGAAGGAAATCTTATATTTAGCCTGCTTAAAGACTTGAAGCTCACAAAATTTCTAGTACCTGCTAATAGCTTTCATATGATCATAATAGCTTGGAGAACACTTTCTTTTTTTTTCAACAAACTGGCTGGATCTCACCGAGGCAGGGTAGCCCAAAGAGAAAAAACAAAAGTTTCTCTTTTTAACATTAGTAATGTGTACAGGGAAAGGGGTTACTAGCCCCTTACTCCCAGCATGTTAGTCAACTCTTACGACACTCATGGCTTACAGAGGAAGAAATCTGTTTCACTTCCCATAGAGATAAGAATAAACAAGAACAAGAACTAGTAAGAAAATAGAAGAAAACCCAGAGGGGTGTGTGTATATATATATATATATATATATATGCTTGTACATGCATGTGAAGTGTGACCTAAATGTAAGTAGAAGTAGTAAGATATACCTGAAATCTTGCATGTTTATGGGACAAAAAAAAAGACACCAGCAATCCTACCATCACGTAAAACAATTACAGGTGGAGAACACTTACCTTCCATAATTATAAACCAGTTATTAACCACTGTTAGTTCAAACAGTGTGACTCCTGCTATAAAAATATTATCAAAGTTGTTGAGGTAATAGTAATCCACATACACTGTAGTGTTGTCATCCTTGTAGAATTGTTCCACCGTTGTATTCCTGCAACAAAATTATATTGTCATTTTAAATGAAGGCATATACAGTATGTTACAAATGAAAAGATTATATAAATATTATAAAAAGGGAAACTGCACTGAGTTTAAGTTCATGTAGAAATGTTCAAAACAAGTTTTAATTGTACGTATATTAAAAGTGATGAAAAAGTCTAGTGACAAATAGCTGTAGAAGATTCTCTTAACAAAAACTTTTCCATACCTACTTTGACTAGAAGCATGGCAATATTGCCTTTTGACTCTTACACTAACATTTAAAATGAACCAACAGATGACTCCAGTTCTATTTATGAGTCCCCTCAAGGAAGGTTCCTTGATGTTGGTGAGGGGCTCTTGATTTAGGGAATTGGATCTGTGCTCCACTTCCCCGAATTAAGCCTCAATGCCTTCCACATCCCCCCCCCCCAGGCGCTGTATAATCCTCTGGGTTTAGCGCTTCCCCCTTGATTATAATAATAATAATCTATTTATGAGTGGAGAAACAAAGAACAGCAGCATCAAAGACATCTCTTTTTCAAAGCACTATTAATTATTTTCCACACAATGGCCATTTTTCATAAAAGCAGGGTGGGCCAAAGAAGGAACACATTTACCATCACTTACTCTGTAGCTGTCTTTCTAGAGCTGTTTGACCCTTGTGGGTTTAGCACTTCATTGTGGTTATAATAATGTCTTTCTAGAAAAGTATGGACATTAAAATTAAAATTGCCCTCTGAACCCTTCAACATTAATTAACTCACACACAGCAGTTCTTCATGTCATAATCAGAAAACAGCTCCATCCCTATGACAGCGAAGAAGTAATAGGTGATGATGATGACAACAATGGCTGAAATTATGCGTGGTGTCAAGATGACTAAAGTCTGGAAGACATCTCTATACCGTTTTCTCATCTTGAACAACCTAAGAAGCCTGTAAATATTCATTTAGTTTGTTAATAAACATTAAGACATTCTGATTTGATTCTAACATGTACATACAGCTATTATAATAATGCTAAGCATAATACAGGACATACAAGAAATATGCCATTTTTTAATTTAAAATAATAAAATACTACTTAGTTGTAGAATTATTAATATGTTATTCACAATGAAGCATTAAACTTGAATTGGCTATTCAGTGCCTGAGGGATGAGATGGGAAAAAAAGTTCTATTCAAGAAAGGGGCGTGTTTTAATTCCCTGGATCAAGAGCCCTTCATCAGATCCCCCCCCCACACCCCCACCCCTTCCCCTTGATGAGCCATTCTTTAGAATATGAAAGTTCATGGGATAAAAAAGGGTAAATATTGTCTTACCTTAATGGTCTTAATATAACTATATAAAAGAAGGAACTGGAAAATTTCTCTGCAATGATACCAGCTATTGACAATACTGTGATAGAGAAATCATAAATATTCCAGCCAGAGTGAAAGTATTGTTTATATCCGAGCCCAACCATTTTCAAGATGGCCTCTACACCATAAACTGAAACATAAACATCAATTTCATATCAGCATCTAGACCCAAACTTTATTTTCAAATTCTAATAATGCCAGCAATTTCATTAATACTATGTATCCATTTATGATAACCTTTTCATGACTTAGCCCTTTCACTGTCTCCCATGCAGATCTATGTCACTGATGCCAGTGTCAGTCTGGTAGATCTACATTTGAAGCACAGCTCCCTCAAGTATGGTGTGAATAAGAAATTTTGGCTTAGACATGAGAGAATGAATCTGTGTAGTGAATGTGCACAGTATAAAACATCCTGCCCCACAGAGTGAATGATGGGAAAAGCAAACCTCCGACCTTGTGTTTGACTTAAAATAGCAAATTTGAGGCATTTTATAGGGTGGTTATTACGATTTTATCAGTTATTTTTTGATATCAGTTGACAGGATGGAAGACATATTAGTGAAGAAGAGATGATTCTGGTCAGGTTCAGGCTGGAAGTAGTTTGAACTAAGGCTCAAAGTGGCAGAAATATTAAATTCCTGGTGATATTCCTGAAAAAGAGTAGGGCACCCTAGCCCCACCCCTTCATCTGTTTTATGAAGCATGGGTTGTGAGTGCTGTAGCAAGGAAGAGGCAGTGGAGATGTTGTGTCTGGTGGTGTGAATATTATGCAGAGAATACATCGCTTGGAGATTACAAGGTGTGGGGGTTACTAAAAGTATTATCAAGAGGGCTGAAGAGGGGTTGTTAAGGTGGTTCAGACATTCAGAGAAGATAGAACAAAAGAACAAAATTGGATGACTTGGAGGGCATATAAATCTGTAGTGGAAGGAAGGCAGGGTAGGGGTCGTCCTAGGAAAGGTTGGAGGGATGGGGTAAAGGAGGTTTTGTGTGCAAGGGGTTTAGACATCCAGCAAGCATCTGTGTGAGCATGTTAGATAAGACTCAGTGGAGGTAAGTGGTTTTTATGACTTGACTTGCTATTGGAGTGTGAGCAAGGTAACATTTAAGAAAGGATTCAGGGAAACTGGTTAGCCAGACTTGAGTCCTGGAGGTGGAAAAATACAGTGCCTGCACTGTAAAGGAGGGCTGGGAATATTTGCAGTTTTGAACTGCAGTATCAGCACCACTCTGGCAAAACAGATTGAGTGAACAATGGTGAAAGAGTTTCTTCATTATTTGGGCCACCCTACCTAGGTGGTAAGGTGGTTAAGCCGAGAAATAGGAGGTTAAGTGTTATGTAGGAGAGGCCTTGGAACACAATTAATGAACAGAGGAAAGGTTGCCTCAGTGGATGGAATGTCTAGTGTTTATTTTGAATTCTGTTTTTAAATTTGATTTTTGTAATTCTGTGTAAAATTGAATGGGCAACTTTTTGGGATCAATCGATAGAATCAAAGGCATACTAGTGAAATAGATAGGAATTGATTTGAATTGTGCATTGAAATTGGCTTAAAACAGAACTCAAGAAAGGCTCAGACCACCAACTTTTTGCCCATATAATCCATAAGTTTTCCACCCAAGTTTGCATTTTTTGTGTCATTACTTTAAAAAAAAAAAAAGTTTTTCTACTATTTTTTAATTTGAAAGTGTCAGCACTTTTAATTTTAGGGGTCATGACAGTGAAGGGGTTAAGATACAGTACAGTACTATAATACAGAAACAAAAATAATTAAAGTCAATAATATCTATGAGAAAAAACTTATGCATATCAATATTAAAATTATACTCAAAAATAGCAAACATGTTAACTGTTTTAACAATTACATAAACTGGAACAGATTTCACCTTTACATTACTAAATTGCATAACTGCTATATGAAAAACATACATGTTACAAAAGCTACTTGATCCCACGTTACACGAAGGTCGTGTGAGACAGGAACTCCACTTGCTGAGACGAAGATGGTCTTCATAAGAAGAGTCGCTGCATTCAATATTATTATCGCATCTGGTAACAAAATAAAATATTGGACATTAGCTTTAGTCTTTGGTCTCTATAGCCGTATGTAACAGCATTTAGAACATCCACAGTAAACTATTAGGAAATGAAATTAAAGGCAAATTTCTAGTATTCGTAGAGTTGGAGTACCTTTAACACAGACTCCCCCTGACTTTTTGACAGCAACAGATTTACTACACAAACTTTGATTATACATGTACTTTCTTTAGCAGTCCTCACCACCCTTACTAACTCTACCTCTGTTATACCCTCCACCCTTGCTAGTTTCAGATCAAGCATATTTAAACTGTTAGCACACCCTACCCTGCTGTGCTGTATGACCCTTGTGGATTTAGTGCTTGGTATACTAATTATAATAATAATAATCTTGTATTCATATGGGCCCCATTAAAGTAACAAAGTTAATATTATGCATAGTAAAAAAAAAGCACTTTTGAGTAAAGCAGCTAAAGCAAATAAATGTGATTATTGTATTTACTGGGAAGCACTAAACCTGTAAGGATTATACAGTGCTTGGGGAATGGAAGGCAGTCTGGTATGATCCATGGAAAAGGAAGGGTACCTTGAATTTCTTGGACCAAGAGTACGTCATTAGTATCAAGAGCTAATAAACATGAACCGAGGCTTTATTACGTTAACATCACTAATATTACCATAACAGTGTTATGAATGACCTGTAATAACATATATGCAACTCTATTCAAAACTGAGGTTAGCACAGCACTGAAGTACAGTGGAACCCCGAGTTTTGGCCGCCCTGAGTATCAGCCGTTTCGAGTTTCGACCACTTTTTTCAGCTAAATTTTGTCCCAAGTTTCAGCCTGTGCCCCATGTTACCAATGGCATACCAGACCTGTCTGTATGCCCGCACCTGCCCACGCAGGCGTCGTGGGCCAATCTAGCTTTGTTTGTCCTTGAGTGAACATCACCCTGTGTGCTCATCCAAACATTTCACAATAAATTCATTGTGTTTAGTGCTGGTTTATTGATTGTGACTGTGAAATAAGCATAAGCCTTATAGGTAAGGCTTGCGAGTCACTGAAAGAGAGATGATGACGTTACCCTCCACCCGGAGGGCCCAAGAAAGAAGACAGAAGAAAGAAGAAGATGAACGACACCCCCAACCCAGGGGCCACCGCCGGGTCACCATCTGGAGAAGACCCGGGCCAGAAGTACCGGCAAATCCCTAATGAATGAATGAATGGTAAGGCTTGGGAGGGAGCGACTTCCAGAAATTTGAACTCTGCTTGGAGAAAATTGTGGCCACACTGTGTCCTCCAGAGGGATTTTGAAGGGTTTGAGGCTGACCCTGACGACCCTACGCCTGTTGTGGAATCTACTGTGTCTTTGGGGAAGTCCATGGGGTTGGATGTGAGTGGCGAGGATGTGGAAGAGTTGGTGAAGGACCACAGGGAAGAGCTAACCACTGACGAACTACAAGAGCTTCAACTGGAACAGCATCGGACCACAGCTGAGGAACTTGCTTCAGAGGAGGAAGAGGGAGTGAAGGAGGTGCCTTCTTCAGTGATTAAGGACATGTGTGGAATGTGGAATAAGTTGCAAAGTTTTGTGGAAAAAATACCACCCTGAGCAAGCTGAAACAAGCCATCTCTGCAACATGTTCAGTGACAAAACAGTGTCCCATTTTAGGCAAATCTTAAAGACACACCAGATAAGAATGTGTTACCTAAAGTCTTTGTGGAAGGGGATTCCACTTCCAAACAATAAGTCCTCCCTCAGTCCTCCTCCCTATCTTCCAGATGCCAGCAAGACTTTTCAATAAAAGTACGTAAATGTGATGTTAAATGTTTGTTTAAATGTTCATTTAAGTACTATATGTATGTTAAATTATAGGTATTCTTTAAAAAATGCATTTTTTGTGGGTTTGGAATGGATTAACTATATTTACATTATTTCTCATGGGAAATATTGCTTCGACTTTAGGCCGTTTTGAGTTTAGGCCTAGCTCCTGGAACAGATTACGGCCAAAACTCGGGGTTCCACTGTACATATATATTAATAAAAAGACTTTATTATTGGCTTTGCTACACAAAGCCAATACTCTGGTTGTGATTCTCAAGGATCCAAGAGAATCAGCAAGTCTACTGTGATGCTCTACAGGAGGGCCCTGCTTACACAGAAGGTCAGGTTGCATTAATCCATCTGTGATATTTTCTTCAAAATTATACAAGAAACACATTACATAGTATATAAACATGATACACCCAAAGTACAATAAACTTCACATAAATATTATTATTATTATTATTTTTTTTTTTAACAAGTTGGCCGTCTCCCACCGAGGCAGGTTGATCCAAAAAGAAAATACTTTCATCATCATTCAACACTTTCACCTCACTCACACATAATCACTGTTTTTGCAGAGGTGCTCAGAACACAAGAGTCAAGAAGCATATAAAGATACACGACATATCCCTCCAAACTACTAATATCCCGAACCCCTCCTTTAGAGTGCAGGATTGTACTTCCCATTTCCACGAATTAAGTCCGGCTATATAAAAATAACCGGTTCCCCTGAATCCCTTCACTAAATATTAAACTGCTCACACTCCAACAGATCGTCAGGTCCCAAAAACCATTCGTCTCCATTCACTTATATCGAACACGCTCATGCACGCCTGCTGGAAGTCCAAGCCCCTCGCCCACAAAACCTCTCTTACCCCTTCTTTCCAACCTTTTCAAGGACGACCACTACCCCGCCTTCCTTCCCCTACAGATTTATACGCTCTCCATGTCATTCTACTTTGATCCATTCTCTCTAAATGACCAAACCACCTCAACAACCCCTCTTCAGCCCTCTGACTAATACTTTCATTAACCCCACACCTTCTCCTAATTTCCACACTCCGAATTTTCTGCATAATATTTACACCACACATTGCCCTTAGACAGGATATCTCCACTGCCTCCAACCGCCTCCTCGCTGCTGCATTCACAACCCAAGCTTCACACCCATATAAGAGTGTTGGTACTACTATACTTTCATACATTCCCTTCTTTGCTTCCATAGATAACGTTTTTTGTCTCCACGTATACCTCAATGCACCACTCACCTTTTTTCCCCTCATGAATTCTATGATTAACCTCATCCTTCATAAATCCATCCGCCGACATGTCAACTCCCAAGTAGTATCTGAAAACATTCACGTCTTCCATACTACTCCTCCCCAATTTGATATCCAATTTTTCTTTATCTAAATCATTTGATACCCTCATCACCTTACTCTTTTCTATGTTCACTTTCAACTTTCTACCTTTATTATTATTATTATTATTATTATTATAACTGTGGTAGTGGGTAGAGGGAAAACATTATGTTTTCTCTGGTGCTGGACCAGAGAAAACGTGTATGAATCTGCGTTTGGCCCAGTCACTTCCCTCCGGTTTTGCTTACAATTCTCAGCATGAATTCTCACGACTTCTCCCTTCATTTATGATGGCATCTAAAGGTAGCTGTTAGAAACGATTAAACTCAGTGAACAAGGCATGCCGATGGTAAAAATATGGTAGGTAGGTGCAGCTATGTAGCCAGGTGGACTATAGCTACCTACACCTGACTTCCTACAAATAAATACTACTCACATACGTATTTTAAGGCAAATAATGAGAGTACTGTATGTGTATTTTATCTCTCTGGGATGCTTTAAATATCATATACTGTATTAAGTTTGGGATGGGGAGCCAGGGCTACCTACACCTGACTTCCTACAAATAAGCACTACTCACCTCTCTCCCTACATTAAGACTACACATATTTCAAGGTAAGTAATGAATGTACTGTGTATGTATTTTACTTTTTATTGTGGTTTTTTTAATGCCTGGTTCTGTTATTAACTTAATATAATTTAGTGTAAACTTGTTGTCTGGCATTTATATGCATTCGTAAGTTAAAAACACGGTGTTCTGCTTTCCAGCATTAGTCTCCTGTATACATTTGGCCCTACTGTACCCTACTTACCTTAAAATATCTTCATTCTTAGTTTATGGTGAGTGGTGAATATATTTATTGTAGAAGTCTGAATGAAGAATGGGTATACAGTAGTTTTCCCCATATCCACAGGGGATACATTCCAAGACCTACTGTGGATACCTGAAACCATGGACAGTAGCAAACCCTACATACAAGTCATTTTTCATTTACATACATTACCTATGTCCTTGCTTCGGTAGTATATGGCCAGTTTGTTGAAAGAAGACATATTTATGTAAAATAAGTCTAGAATTAAAACTTTTTCACTGATGGGAAGCATTTCACATTTTCTCTTAGGCTTTGAAGAACTGCCAGCATCACTACTTTTGCACTCTGGGGCCATTATTAAGAATAGTGTTACTTTTGGGCCACAGTCAATCATGGATAACCGAAACTGCGGATACAGAATCCACGGATATGGAGGTCCTACTGTAATTGAAAACTGCTGTGTTGCCAAAATGCTGTAAAGTGAAGGACTGTACAGCAGGGCCTGCCTGTATATGCAATAGCAGAAAGTACCCCTCAATGGAAGCAAAGTCTTATACACAAGATTAAGTGGTTTGCAAGCATTGTAGTACAGTTTTTGGCTCACACCCAAAGACACAGGTTCACTTCTGACTGTTGTGGTCCACACACTGCTGGCAGTATATCTTACATTGGGATGGCTTTGTCTCAGTATCAGTGTTCTTGTTATTAGGTAAAATTAACATGGAGTACAAGCAAAAGATGACAGACAGGTACATTTTCTTGTCCATGCTTTCCCTATTTTCTTCTATTTACTGACCTTTCTCATGGTTCTTATATTTGTAGAAACTTTCATATAGCCCCTCAGAATCTCTCATAAAAAAACATTTTGCTATATTTAAATCATTCTTTAATTTATCATCTTCCTAACCTCATTCATTATTGGCCACTGTTCTACCTAATTTAACCCCAACCTTGCCACAAAAATATTTATTTCTTCAATCTTATTATATTTATTAAAACCTGAAAACTTTCAATTGTCTTTACCTCTTTGTGGCATGGTCCATTGGCCTGCTGTTACAGCAGTTACAAGGCCTATTACCCTAGCAGATTTTGTATTACCTTTTCTGTGATATTCTCTTCTAACATTTCCTTTTACACCTGCCAACATTAAAGAGCAGGGTAATATTTAGTGAAGGGATTCAGGGAAACCGGTTATTTTTATATAGCTGGACTCGAGTACTGGAAATGGCAAGTACAATGCCTGCACTTAAGAGGAGGGGTTTGGGATACTGGCAGTTTGGAGGGATATGTTATGTATGTTTATATATGCTTCTAAACTGTTGTATCTGGGCACCTCTGCAAAAACAGTGATTATGTATGAGTGAGGCAAAAATGTTGAATGATGATGAAAGTATTTTCTTTTTGGGGATTTTCTTTCTTTTTGGGTCACCCTGCCTCGGTGGGAGACAGCCGAGTTGTTGAAAAGTCAAAAGAGATAAATAATCTTCTATCCTCTGGGAAACCATCTTTAACACATTCAAATTGGTCAATGTGCATGTTTGTAAAGTTTCTTTTTTTTGCTTACCAATGGCAAGATCCCCTGTTTAGCCAGTACGAAAGAGAATGAGATATCAGTACATTATGTGCACATACAGTATTAAAAAATTATGTTATCATCCCCTACACAAAACAATTTCAATTTACCCTTCAGAGTGAAATCTCAGTTATATGTACAAATGAATTAATCAGCTTTAGTAACACAAGACAAACACTTCCTTTTTTGGTAACAATTTATACAATTTTCTTGTTCAGAAGCCATAATACAGAAGGCTGATTACTCACAGACAAAGAAATCGAACCACTTCCACGTGACAAGTCTTCGAATGAGGTAAAAGCAGCCGCGGAGGGGATCAGGAAAGTCATTGAACCAAGGGTCGGGTGACTGATAAGGTCTCCACTTGAATCCACACATTTCATAAATATTGTAGAACTCGCTAAGGCATAAAAAGCCCGATTTTGAGCGGTTTAAGGCTTTAAATACGAGGTAGGCATCTCGTTCACCTGAGGAAAGAAATAATGGATGCAAAAAATTACAAAGTAAAATAAAATGGATGAAGAAATAAAATATCTTTCAAGATATAATTCAATTGAATTAATTTTGAAAGGTGTTTAGCCATGTCTTAAAAATATTATATTTTCATTACTTCATAACATCATTAGTCCAGTAATTTATTACTAGTTATCTGGCAATACATTATATTGTAATTGCAAGTTAGGATGCTTGCAGTTTCAAGGAAGCACAGTACCACACTGACAGGATAGCTGTATTCTCTTCTCCCTAATGTATACATAAGAAGGTAGGTACTGTGCATATGTACAGTACCTACCTTCTTATGTATAAACTTCTAGATGCTTACATTCATTATGTATTTTGCTTTACTTCCATACATGTCTCTTGTAATGTTTCCTCTCCCATGTTTGACATTTAACCTCTAAATCCTGGTCTTCGAAGGCACAATGATATGGATGTAATTTTGCTTTTATCATGAGCTCAACATACAGGAATGTCAAGCAACCTTAAGAATCCAAATGCATTTAAATACTGTACCTCCACATTTATTCCTGTCTGTATCAGTTTTTGATTTATAAATTAGCCCATACAAAAGAATCAGGATACAGTGAATCTTTACATCACTCCTCCATATAAGCTTTCTCCATGTATGTTTAAATACTTCTTTCTGCTTGAACATATTGTATATATTGTACCTAATTCTACCTTAATTTGTCAAATACTGTGTGTTTAACAAAATAATTTATGTAAAAGAATTAAATACAGTATTTTCAGATTTAATCACATGCATTCCTATTTACATTTCCATCACATTCATTTCGGTTTATATTTCAAGACAGCAGTTAGTAGTGGACTCACTAGCTCTGGGTCTGAAGAATTTCAGGAGCCCCCGGAAGTGTCTAAAGGGAACGTGAGTCGGCTGTGATCTGGTTACAAGCAGACGGAATGCATACTGACAAGCTCGTCTCTTATGAACCAACAGTTTCCTAAATTTATCCTTTTCGATATCACTAAAAACTACAAAGACGACAGCAAGCATCTGCAGGAAATAAATGCACAGTAGATTTTGAAAAATGACAATAAAACTTCAAAAAGGGCAATCAGTGCTGTGTTTGAAAATGAAAAGAATATCATGGTCATGTGCAAATTGCCTTGGAATCAACAGTGGCCTTATATATAGCCATGCAAACATTAGAAATGTTGCATTTCTATACGATGACTAAAACTAACAAAAGTTCATTAACAGATACAGTACCTATAGCTTGAAATATATTTAAAGCTAAGAACATTAAAATTTTTAGCATTAAATTTGCAAATTAATATGATTATTATTACTGATATACATATATGAGTATGTATATTATTGTGCTTTTTTGATGAGTTTTAATATTTTATATCTCAAAAGTTGCTAAATACAGTAAATGCAAAATAAATTTTTCACCATTTCTTAATAAAGTATGTCATAAAGTCTCATGTAGATGAAGTGTTATGCAGCCTCTCCTCATTTAGCGACGTCCTTGTTTACAGATGCCTCGGCCTTATGACAGGCTCTCTGACAAGTATGCATACCTAAATAATGTATATGAGAGCTGATTTCTTCTATTCTGTTTATTATCATATACAGTACACTACTGTATAAAAATTTACAAATATGCCAAAAATGTTATAAATGGTGCAAAGGTGGCATTAAAACAATATCAAAGATAGTGGACGCAAACCATTAAAGTATGCTCCCCACTTAGCGACGAATTCATTTACCAATGTGGTCTTAGGAATGGAACTCCATTGTTAAGTGAGGAGAGGTTGTATTATATACAGTGGAACCTCAAAAATCGAATGCATCACATATCGAACGTTTCGAAAATAGGACCATTTTTTCAGACAAACTGTGTCCCTATTATCGAACGCGGCCCTATTTTCGGACTGCCGAGTACGGGACCTGTCTGCCGGCCTGCTCTGTCCGCGTCCCCACGCAGGAGCCGTGAGCAGTCTAGCTTTGTTTATGCTTGAGTGAACACTAACCTGCACTCTCATTCACGCATTTTACGATTATTTCGTTGTGTTTAGTGCTTGTGGGACTTTGAAATAAGCTGCCATGGGCCCAAAGAAACTTGTTAGTGGTACCCAAAGAAACTTGCTAGTGGTAAAGAAAGTGAGAAACACCATAGATGTGAAGAAGGAAATAATACAGAAGTATGAGAGTGGTGTGAAACTTGTTGAGCTTCCCAGGATGTATGGGAAAAACAAGTCGACCATCGGTTCTATCCTGTCAAAGAAAGAACAAATCAAGGAAGCTGATGTTGTGAAAGGTGTTAATATAGGGAGTGGATGAGGTGCCTTCTTCAAAGATTAAGGAGATCTGTGCCAAGTGGAATGATGTCCAAATGTTTGTGCAGAAGTACCACCCTGAGCAAGCTGAAACAAGCCATCTTTGCAACAAGTTCAGTGACAGAACCATGTCCCATTTTAGGGAAATGTTAAAGAGGCGCCAGAAACAGAGGACTGTGGACAGTTATTTTGTGAGACAGGGGTCCAGTGACTCTCAAGCTGGTCCTAGTGGCATTAAAAGACAGAGAAGGGAAGTAACCCCAGAGAGGGCTTTACCTGAAGTCCTCATGGAGGGGGATTCTCCTTCCAAACACTAACCCCAACTCCCTCTCTCCTCCCTATCTTCCAGATGCCATCACCAATCTTCAATAAAGGTAAGTAAAAATGTTATTTTATATGTATTACTATACATAATTAAAAACTATAGTATTTGTTGTATGTAAAACTGTAATTAATCTCTATAAAATGTATTTTTTGTGTGAATATTTTTGGATTTCTGGAACGGATTAATTGTATTTCCATTATTTCTTATGGGAAATACTGCTTCGAATTTCAGACTTTTCGAATTTAGAACTAGCTCCTGGAACGAATTAAGTTCGATTTTTGAGGTTCCACTGTAAATAAGGGTTATCTACTGCTATACAGTATGTTTCTTTAACAACTTGTTGGCTATGCCATCCTTCAGTCATCTTGTATTAGACAGTATACAACCTCTCCTCGCTTAACAATAAAGTTCTGTTCCCAAGACCATGTCGGTAAATGAATTCGTCACTAAGTAAGGAGCATACTATAATGGTAGTGGGTTTGTGTCATCCATCTTTGATATTGTTTTTTTGTCACCTTTGCACCATTTATAACATTTTTTGTATATTTTTAAATGTTTGTACAGTAGTGTACTGTATATTGTAATAAATAGAATAGAGGTAATCAACTCTAATATACATTATTTAGGTATGAATACTGGTCAGAGAGTCTATCGTAAGTCTGAGTTGTTGGTAAACGAGTACATCGCTAAGTGAGGAGAGGTTGTATTCCCAAAGGAGTACCTCTAAATGCTTGCCTGAATTATTTTTTGTTCCTCTAAACTTTTGTTTATAACTTGAGAATGCCTCATCCAATCATCTTCAAATTTTCAATGCTAGTTCACTCTATAAAGGAAAAACCAAAAAAAAGAGTATAGGTGGGCATCGCTTTTTCCATATTTTGCTAAAATTACAAAAATGTAATATTACTAAATGTAAAAAAATGAATTTTTTTTTTTTTTTTTTGGGGTCACCCTGCCTTGGTGGAAAATGGCCGGTATGTTAAAAAATACTACATTACAGCCTCTCCTCACTTAACAATGTACTCGTTTACAGATGACTCGGACTTATGATGGCCTCTCTGACCAGTATGCATACCTAAATAATGTATACTAGAGTTGATTCCTCTATTCTGATTACTACAATATACAGTAATGTCACCATGGTTTTGGGACCTGACGAGCTGTTGGAGTGTGAGCAGGGTAATATTTAGTGAAGGGATTTGGGGAACAGGTGTTTACATTGAAGCATATATGTGAACAGTATTTAGATAAAGATAGGGAAGTTTTTATTGCATTTATGGATTTAGAAAAGGCATATGATAGAGTGGATAGAGGAGCAATGTGGCAGATGTTGCAAGTATATGGAATAGGTGGTAAGTTATTAAATGCTGTAAAGAGTTTTTATGAGGATAGTGAGGCTCAGGTTAGGGTGTGTAGAAGAGAGGGAGACTACTTCCCGGTAAAAGTAGGTCTTAGACAGGGATGTGTAATGTCACCATGGTTGTTTAATATATTTATAGATGGGGTTGTAAAGGAAGTAAATGCTAGGGTGTTTGGGAGAGGGGTGGGATTAAATTATGGGGAATCAAATTCAAAATGGGAATTGACACAGTTACTTTTTGCTGATGATACTGTGCTTATGGGAGATTCTAAAGAAAAATTGCAAAGGTTAGTGGATGAGTTTGGGAATGTGTGTAAAGGTAGAAAGTTGAAAGTGAACATAGAAAAGAGTAAGGTGATGAGGGTGTCAAATGATTTAGATAAAGAAAAATTGGATATCAAATTGGGGAGGAGGAGTATGGAAGAAGTGAATGTTTTCAGATACTTGGGAGTTGACGTGTCGGCGGATGGATTTATGAAGGATGAGGTTAATCATAGAATTGATGAGGGAAAAAAGGTGAGTGGTGCGTTGAGGTATATGTGGAGTCAAAAAACGTTATCTATGGAGGCAAAGAAGGGAATGTATGAAAGTATAGTAGTACCAACACTCTTATATGGGTGTGAAGCTTGGGTGGTAAATGCAGCAGCGAGGAGACGGTTGGAGGCAGCGGAGATGTCCTGTTTAAGGGCAATGTGTGGTGTAAATATTATGCAGAAAATTCGGAGTGTGGAAATTAGGAGAAGGTGTGGAGTTAATAAAAGTATTAGTCAGAGGGCAGAAGAGGGGTTGTTGAGGTGGTTTGGTCATTTAGAGAGAATGGATCACAGTAGAATGACATGGAAAGCATATAAATCTATAGGGGAAGGAAGGCGGGGTAGGGGTCGTCCTCGAAAGGGTTGGAGAGAGGGGGTAAAGGAGGTTTTGTGGGTAAGGGGCTTGGACTTCCAGCAAGCGTGCGTGAGCGTGTTAGATAGGAGTGAATGGAGACGAATGGTACTTGGGACCTGACGATCTGTTGGAGTGTGAGCAGGGTAATATTTAGTGAAGGGATTCAGGGAAACCGGTTATTTTCATATAGTCGGACTTGAGTCCTGGAAATGGGAAGTACAATGCCTGCACTTTAAAGGAGGGGTTTGGGATATTGGCAGTTTGGAGGGATATGTTGTGTATCTTTATATGTTTATGCTTCTAGACTGTTGTATTCTGGGCACCTCTGCAAAAACAGTGATAATGTGCGAGTGTGGTGAAAGTGTTGAATGATGATGAAAGTATTTTCTTTTTGGGGATTTTCTTTCTTTTTTGGGTCACCCTGCCCCGGTGGGAGACGGCCGACTTGTTGAAAAAAAAAAAAAAAAAAAAAAAAAAAAAAATTTGGGGAAACCGTTTTTTTTTATATAGCCGGACTTCAGTACTGAAAATGGCAAGTACAATGCCTGCACTTTAAAGGAGGGGTTTCGGATATTGGCAGTTTGGAGGGATATGTTATATATCTTTATATATGCTTCTAAACTGTTGTATCTGAGTGCCTCTGTAAAAACAGTGATTATGTATGAGTAAGGTGAAAGTGTTGAATGATGAAAGTTTTTTCTTTTTAGGGATTTTTTCTTTCTTTTGGGTCACCCTGCCTCTGTGGAAGACGGCCGACTTGTTGATAAAAAAAAAACAGTATATTACTGTATAAACATTTAAAAATATACCAGCAATGTTAGAAATGATGCAAAGGTGACATTAAAACAATATCAAAAATGGTTGACACAAACCCACTACCATTATAGTATGCACCTCACTTAGCGACGAATTTGTTTACTGACGTGGTCTTAGGAATGGAACTCCGTCGTTAAGTGAGGAGAGGTGTACTTGCTCATTTCTAACTGAACCTCCTTATTAATTCTACAATATATTCACTTATTTCTCTGTGGGGAAGCAGAAAAGAATTCTTCCTCCATAAGCTATGAGTGTTATAAAAGATGACTAAAACGAAAAACTTTCATTTTTCTTTTTAGGTCACCTTGCCTCGGTGGGATACGGCCGGGTCCTTAAAAAAAAAAAATCACTTACCAGATTCATCAAGAAGTAAAGATTGATGGCCAAGAATGCAATGAAGAAAGCAGCACTCCAACGGCTTTTTGTGTATGCTGGCATCATCACATCTGGGAAACTTTCAACACAAAACTAAATTTATTAATATAATTTTAAAGCTTATAAAAATAATATAAATGATATGTGGATGATGAGAAAGGTTACTGATAGGGTATTACTAAGTGGTGACTACTGTCTTCATCCCTAAGAGAAGAAAAAATATACGCAAAACATTCATTGATAAAGAGCAATGTCTTATTACGGAAAATAAATGCTCGTGATACAAATGGACACCATAAAATCTAGCCTAAGATAACGCTAAGATAACAGGGATATCTTGCTACTCCTACTTACACTTTGGTCACACTTCACAGACACGCACATGCATATATATATATACATACATCTAGGTTTTTCTCTTTTTTCTAAATAGCTCTTGTTCTTTTTTATTTCTTCTATTGTCCATGGGGAAGTGGAAAAGAATCTTTCCTCCGTAAGCCATGCGTGTCGTATGAGGCGACTAAAATGCCGGGAGCAATGGGCTAGTAACCCCTTCTCCTGTATACAATTACTAAAAAAGAGAAGAAGAAAAACTTTATAAAACTGGGTTGCTTAAATGTGCGTGGATGTAGTGCGGATGACAAGAAACAGATGATTGCTGATGTTATGAATGAAAAGAAGTTGGATGTCCTGGCCCTAAGCGAAACAAAGCTGAAGGGGGTAGGAGAGTTTCAGTGGGGGAAATAAATGGGATTAAATCTGGAGTATCTGAGAGAGTTAGAGCAAAGGAAGGGGTAGCAGTAATGTTAAATGATCAGTTATGGAAGGAGAAAAGAGAATATGAATGTGTAAATTCAAGAATTATGTGGATTAAAGTAAAGGTTGGATGCGAGAAGTGGGTCATAATAAGCGTGTATGCACCTGGAGAAGAGAGGAATGCAGAGGAGAGAGAGAGATTTTGGGAGATGTTAAGTGAATGTATAGGAGCCTTTGAACCAAGTGAGAGAGTAATTGTGGTAGGGGACTTGAATGCTAAAGTAGGAGAAACTTTTAGAGAGGGTGTGGTAGGTAAGTTTGGGGTGCCAGGTGTAAATGATAATGGGAGCCCTTTGATTGAACTTTGTATAGAAAGGGGTTTAGTTATAGGTAATACATATTTAAGAAAAAGAGGATAAATAAGTATACACGATATGATGTAGGGCGAAATGACAGTAGTTTGTTGGATTATGTATTGGTAGATAAAAGACTGTTGAGTAGACTTCAGGATGTACATGTTTATAGAGGGGCCACAGATATATCAGATCACTTTCTAGTTGTAGCTATACTGAGAGTAAAAGGTAGATGGGATACAAGGAGAATAGAAGCATCAGGGAAGAGAGAGGTGAAGGTTTATAAACTAAAAGAGGAGGCAGTTAGGGTAAGATATAAAACAGCTATTGGAGGATAGATGGGCTAATGAGAGCATAGCAATGGGGTCGAAGAGGTATGGGGTAGGTTTAAAAATGTAGTGTTAGAGTCTTCAGCAGAAGTTTGTGGTTACAGGAAAGTGGGTGCAGGAGGGAAGAGGAGCGATTGGTGGAATGATGATGTAAAGAGAGTAGTAAGGGAGAAAAAGTTAGCATATGAGAAGTTTTTACAAAGTAGAAGTGATGCAAGGAGGGAAGAGTATATGGAGAAAAAGAGAGAAGTTAAGAGAGTGGTGAAGCAATGTAAAAAGAGAGCAAATGAGAGAGTGGGTGAGATGTTATCAACAAATTTTGTTGAAAATAAGAAAAAGTTTTGGAGTGAGATTAACAAGTTAAGAAAGCCTAGAGAACAAATGGATTTGTCAGTTAAAAATAGGAGAGGAGAGTTATTAAATGGAGAGTTAGAGGTTATGGGAAGATGGAAGGAATATTTTGAGGAATTGTTAAATGTTGATGAAGATAGGGAAGCTGTGATTTCGTGTATAGGGCAAGGAGGAATAACATCTTGTAGGAGTGAGGAAGAGCCAGTTGTGAGTGTGGGGAAGTTCGTGAGGCAGTAGGTAAAATGAAAGGGGGTAAGGCAGCTGGGATTGATGGGATAAAGATAGAAATGTTAAAAGCAGGTGGAGTTTACCTGGAGTTTACCTGGAGAGAGTTTCGGGGGTCAACGCCCCCGCGGCCCGGTCTGTGACCAGGCCTCCTGGTGGATCAGCGCCTGATCAACCAGGCTGTTGCTGCTGGCTGCATGCAAACCAACGTACGAGCCACAGCCCGGCTGATCAGAACTGCCTTTAGGTGCTTGTCCAGTGCCAGCTTGAAGACTGCCAGGGGTCTGTGGTAATCCCCCTTAGTGTGCTGGGAGGCAGTTGAACAGTCTCGGTCCCCTGACACTTATTGTATGGTCTCTTAACGTGCTAGTGACACCCTGCTTTTCATTGGGGGGATGGTGCATCGTCTGCCAAGTCTTTTGCTTTCGTAGTGAGTGATTTTCGTGTGCAAGTTCGGTACTAGTCCCTCTAGGATTTTCCAGGTGTATATAATCATGTATCTCTCCCTCCTGCGTTCCAGGAATACAGGTTTAGAAACCTCAAGCGCTCCCAGTAATTGAGGTGTTTTATCTCCGTTATGCGCGCCGTGAAAGTTCTCTGTACATTTTCTAGGTCGGCAATTTCACCTGCCTTGAAAGGTGCTGTTAGAGTGCAGCAATATTCCAGCCTAGATAGAACAAGTGACCTGAAGAGTGTCATCATGGGCTTGGCCTCCCTAGTTTTGAGGTTCTCATTATCCATCCTGTCATTTTTCTAGCAGATGCGATTGATACAATGTTATGGTCCTTGAAGGTGAGATCCTCCGACATAATCACTCCCAGGTCTTTGAACGTTTGGTGTTTCGCTCTATTTGTGGCCAGAATTTGTTTGTACTCTGATGAAGATTTAATTTCCTCATGTTTACCATATCTGAGTAATTGAAATTTCTCATCGTTGAACTTCATATTGTTTTCTGCAGCCCACTGAAAGATTTGGTTGATGTCCGCCTGGAGCCTTGCAGTGTCTGCAATGGAAGACACTGTCATGCAGATTCGGGTGTCATCTGCAAAGGAAGACACGGTGCTGTGGCTGACATCCTTGTCTATGTCGGATATGAGGATGAGGAACAAGATGGGAGCTAGTACTGTGCCTTGTGGAACAGAGCTTTTCACCGTAGCTGCCTCGGACTTTACTCTGTTGACGACTACTCTCTGTGTTCTGTTAGTGAGGAAATTATAGATCCATCGACCAACTTTTCCTGTTATTCCTTTAGCGCGCATTTTGTGCGCTATTACGCCATGGTCACACTTGTCGAAGGCTTTTGCAAAGTCTGTATATATTACATCTGCATTCTTTTTGTCTTCTAGTGCATTTAGGACCTTGTCGTAGTGATCCAGTAGTTGAGACAGACAGGAGCGACCTGTTCTAAACCCATGTTGCCCTGGGTTGTGTAACTGATGGGTTTCTAGATGGGTGGTGATCTTGCTTCTTAGGACCCTTTCAAAGATTTTTATGATATGGGATGTTAGTGCTATTGGTCTGTAGTTCTTTGCTGTTGCTTTAACTGCCCCCTTTGTGGAGTGGGGCTATGTCTGTTGTTTTTAGTAACTGAGGGACGACCCCGTGTCCATGCTCCCTCTCCATAGGATGGAAAAGGCTCGTGATAGGGGCTTCTTGCAGTTCTTGATGAACACAGAGTTCCATGAGTCTGGCCCTGGGGCAGAGTGCATGGGCATGTCATTTATCGCCTGTTCGAAGTCATTTGGCGTCAGGATAACATCGGATAGGCTTGTGTTAATCAAATTTTGTGGCTCTCTCATAAAAAATTCATTTTGATCTTCGACTCTCAGTCTGGTTAGCGGCTTGCTAAAAACTGAGTCATATTGGGACTTGAGTAGCTCACTCATTTCCTTGCTGTCATCTGTGTAGGACCCATCTTGTTTAAGTAGGGGCCCAATACTGGACGTTGTTCTCGATTTTGATTTGGCATAGGAGAAGAAATACTTTGGGTTTCTTTCGATTTCATTTATGGCTTTTAGTTCTTCCCGCGATTCCTGACTCCTAAAGGATTCTTTTAGCTTAAGTTCGATGCTTGCTATTTCTCTGACCAGTGTCTCCCTGCGCATTTCTGATATATTGACCTCTTTTAGCCGCTCTGTTATTCTTTTCCCGTCGCCTGTAAAGGGAGCGCCTGTCTCTTTCTATTTTACATCTACTCCTCCTTTTTCTTAGAGGAATAAGCCTTGTGCATACATCGATATAGTTTTGGAGTGGTTGGTGCAATTATTTAATAAATGTATGGAAGAGGGTAAGGTACCTAGGGATTGGCAGAGAGCATGCATAGTTCCTTGTATAAAGGCAAAGGGGATAAAAGAGAGTGCAAAAATTATAGGGGGATAAGTCTGTTGAGTGTACCTGGTAAAGTGTATGGTAGAGTTATAATTGAAAGAATTAAGAGTAAGACGGAGAATAGGATAGCAGATGAACAAGGAGGCTTTAGGAAAGGTAGGGGGTGTGTGGACCAGGTGTTTACAGTGAAACATATAAGTGAACAGTATTTAGATAAGGCTAAAGAGGTCTTTGTGGCATTTATGGATTTGGAAAAGGCGTATGACAGGGTGGATAGGGGGGCAATGTGGCAGATGTTGCAAGTGTATGGTGTAGGAGGTAGGTTAACTGAAAGCCGTGAAGAGTTTTTACGAGGATAGTGAGGCTCAAGTTAGAGTATGTAGGAAAGAGGGAAATTTTTTCCCAGTAAAAGTAGGCCTTAGACAAGGATGTGTGATGTCACCGTGGTTGTTTAATATATTTATAGATGGGGTTGTAGAGAAGTAAATGCGAGGGTTTTGGCAAGAGGCGTGGAGTTAAAAGATAAAGAATCACACACAAAGTGGGAGTTGTCACAGCTGCTCTTTGCTGATGACACTGTGCTCTTGGGAGATTCTGAAGAGAAGTTGCAGAGATTGGTGGATGAATTTGGTAGGGTGTGCAAAAGAAGAAAATTAAAGGTGAATACAGGAAAGAGTAAGGTTATGAGGATAACAAAAAGATTAGGTGATGAAAGATTGAATATCAGATTGGAGGGAGAGAGTATGGAGGAGGTGAACGTATTCAGATATTTGGGAGTGGACGTGTCAGCGATGGGTCTATGAAAGATGAGGTGAATCATAGAATTGATGAGGGAAAAAGAGTGAGTGGTGCACTTAGGAGTCTGTGGAAACAAAGAACTTTGTCCTTGGAGCAAAGAGGGGAATGTATGAGAGTATAGTTTTACCAATGCTCTTATATGGGTGTGAAGCGTGGGTGATGAATGTTGCAGCGAGGAGAAGGCTGGAGGCAGTGGAGATGTCATGTCTGAGGGCAATGTGTGGTGTGAATATAATGCAGAGAATTCGTAGTTTGGAAGTTAGGAGGAGGTGCGGGATTACCAAAACTGTTGTCCAGAGGGCTGAGGAAGGGTTGTTGAGGTGGTTCGGACATGTAGAGAGAATGGAGCGAAACAGAATGACTTCAAGAGTGTATCAGTCTGTAGTGGAAGGAAGGCGGGGTAGGGGTCGGCCTAGGAAGGTTGGAGGGAGGGGGTAAAGGAGGTTTTGTGTGCGAGGGGCTTGGACTTCCAGCAGGCATGCGTGAGCGTGTTTGATAGGAGTGAATGGAGACAAATGGTTTTTAATACTTGACGTGCTGTTGGAGTGTGAGCAAAGTAACATTTATGAAGGGATTCAGGGAAACCGGCAGGCCGGACTTGAGTCCTGGAGATGGGAAGTACAGTGCCTGCACTCTGAAGGAGGGGTGTTAATGTTGCAGTTTAAAAACTGTAGTGTAAAGCACCCTTCTGGCAAGACAGTGATGGAGTGAATGATGGTGAAAGTTTTTCTTTTTCGGGCCACCCTGCCTTGGTGGGAATCGGCCGGTGTGATAATAAAAAAAAAAAAAAATCTAGCCTAGTAATTTATAAAGATGCTGAAGACGATAGCAATATATCAGCTTTGAGTGGACATGGCAGAAAAAATGTGGAGTGAATACATTGAACATTCATACATTAAGATTGGTGTGGAAGCTAAACAGTGCACCTTTGCATTTGTTAGGAACAGTGAATCTAGAATTTATTAACTTTAGTTTAGGATTAACCCCATGTTGCCTAGGGTATTTAACAAATAAAAATTCCTGCTTGCAACTAACAAAGGTCATAATGAGGCACCAAACAGAATAAGCCTACCTTGCTCAATTAGTTATGTATATTGTCTAGCCACTGATGACTACAAATACATCCCGTGCACGAAGTCATCTCTTCCCTTTCATATCGCATAGTTAACAACTCTGCAAAATACTCTCTCTACATCTCCTCAACACCTCCACCTTTATTAAACATTCTAACGACTTTAAGTGCTCAGTCCATTTGCTCCCAGGCTTTCTTACCTTATTTGTGTCACTCCAAAACTATTTCTAATTCTCATTAAAATTTGCTGATAATGATTCATCATTTTCCTCATCTACACTTCTATTGCACTCTCTCATCACAATTTTAAATTTGCTATTTTTTCTCTCCATATACTTTCCCTAATATATACATATATACTATACATACATCCATACACAAGCTAGAAAATTCAAACTCACTTAGCAGTAGTCAAGAGCACATAAAGAGAAACAAATCCTTGCTGAAAAGATCTGAAGTATGGATCAGCTTGATTGGGGCTGAAGAAATAAAATCCTAGAGTGCTGAAAATTATGAGGATAAAAAGCAAGATACCCAATACCTCAAGGATCGGTGGCACTGATTGCAGGATTTGCCGCAAAAATCTGAAGAAAAACAGAAGGATAAAACAATAAATCATTTACAATATTACTCTGTGAATTGCATGTACTGTACAGTAATGTACTTTGGAAATGTTTATAAAAGTACAGTATAGTATAGTGTTATGCAGTGGTACTATTACTATGAGAAATACATACTGTATTCAATTTTAATGTATTTAAATGTACAGTACAGTACAGGCACTCTTCACTTAATGACCGAGTTCCGTTCCTACAAGTAGGTCATTAAGTGAATTGGTCAATAAGCAAGGAGCATACTGTAATAGTAGAGGGTTTGTGTCAACCATCTTATTGTTTTAATATCACATTTGCATTATTTGTAACATTTTTAGTATATTTTTAAATGTTTATAGTAATATAGTGTATGCTGTAATAAACAGAATAGAAGAAATCAGCTTTAATTTACATTACTTAGGTCTGCATACTGCTCGGAGAGCTGGTTGTAACTCCGAGAGGTCATTAAACAGGTAGGTCATAAAGTGAGGAGTGTCTGTACATGAAAAAATTATCAAAAAAAATTATCTAGGGTGTCTAGCTTGTGCTGGCACTGATAATACTCTAAAAAGAAAAACAAACCATTTCTTTGTGCATTTACAAAATGTAGCTTACATGTACTTAAATATTGTTAAGCACAAAAGAAAGACACTAGCATGCTGTACATACCAAATTCCTCAACTGTTTACATACTAAAATCACTTAATGATATAACATGGATAAATATAGTACATGTATGCCTATAATGGTTCTGTGGAAAAATGACACTATATCTTCATCTCTGAAAATTATGGTAATGTTTTCAAAGTGCTGTCTGAAATTTTAGGTTTTCTGGAATGGGAAATACTGCAATTCGAAGCTTGGGTTTTATATTTTTTCTGTCATATGTGAAGAAAAGTATATATGGCTTGACATGCTGTTGGAGCATGGGGAAGGTAACATTAGTAAAAGGATTTAGGGGAAACCGATTAGCTGGACTCGAGTCCTGGAGGTGGGAAGTATAGTGAGGCTTGGATGCTGCAGTTCAAAGGGTCATTTGAACTGTTACATCCACACACTTCTGGCAAGACAGCTACTGAATGAAAGACTGTGAATGTTTTGCCTCTTTTTTGGGTCACTCCACCTAAGTAGGTCATGGACATTGCATTGAAAAAAATAGATAAACAATCACTAGCATTATTAACCCTTTGAATGGCTGTCATGTAGATCTTTGTTACTGACAGGAGAATGGGTCTGTGTTGTCAAGGTACACAGTATAAAAAAAAATCTTGCCCTACACGGTGCATGATGGAAAAAGCAAAAATCTGACCTTGTGTTTGGTTTAAAATAGCAACAGTGAGGTGTTTTCTAGAATGATTTTTATTGGCTGTTTCTTGGTATCATTTGACAGAAAGGAAAATATACTACCAAAACAGAGATGATTTTGGTTGGTTTCATGATCTGAGCTGAAATGGGGCTCAACGTAACAAATATTCAATTTTTGCCGATTTTCCTGATGATGGGCAAAGCCTCCCCTACACACCCCAGGTGTGTTTTATGGGTTTTTAATAGGTCTGATTCAATTACTGGGATGCCATAAACCTCAACCAATCATTCCTCGTTATATTTTATTATCCGAGAAATAGTCTAAATCTTCAATCTTTTGTGATTGTGAATTCAAAATGGAAGGCAAGTGTAATATAGGAGAGGCCTGGGACATGATAAATGAATAAAGGAAATGTTTTATCACTTAGAATATCTACATTGTTTATTTTGGAATTTTTTTTAATTGGAATTTTTTAATTTTATGTAAAAGTAGTTAAATAATCAACTTTTGTGCACTTTTATAAGATAGTTCTGATAGTTGAATGGGTGGTTTCTTGTGACCAACTGATAGACTGGAAAGCCTACTAGCAAAATAGCTAAGAATTTGGTTGAATGGAGCAATGGCATTGGTTTAAAATAGGACTTGGTAAGTGAAATCACCGACATGTAAATTGCGCCCAGGCCGCTAACTCTGTGACTGCGTAATTCCATGAGTTTTGCATTAAATTTTTTACTTTTGGTGTCATTACCTTCAGAAAAAGTCTTATACCATTTCAGAAGAAAAACTTTTTTTTTTTTGGGGTGGGGTGGGGGGTGATATGGACATCGAGAGCAATATTGTATTAATTTCAGGGGTCTGGACAATGAGAGGGTTAAAATGATCAACCAAACAGCACAAGCATTTGCTTATATTTAATATTAATTAAGCCAATACCTTGTATCCAAATTATCTATTATTATTACATTAAAAATAAGCACTAAACCCATACACGTCTAAAAGCATATACAAATCAAGATTATGCAAGATAATACAAAACACACAACCAGGCAAGAAATCTCTATAAAAGCACAATACATATGCTTAAACTAAACAAAGCAGGAAGACTGGCTAATGGTTGTTCTGAATGCCCTGTGACCTGGTGGCTAAAGCTCTCGCTTCACATGGTGAGGGTTAAGGTTCAATTCCTGGCGAGGATAGAAACATTGGGTGGGTTTCTTTACACCGGTTGTCTATGTTCCCCATTAGTAAAATGGGTACCTGGGTGCTAGTCAATTGGTTTGGGTTGCATCCTGGGACAAAACTGACCTAATTTGCCTGAAATGCTCTGCATAACAAGTGGCTTTCTATATAGTTGTATGTCACTGATGTCAGCTAGGCCTGCATACCTTGTACATGTACTTGTAGAAATAGATATTATTATTATTACATTATTAAATGTTACCTTGCTCACACTCCAACAGCACGTCAAGTCATAAAAACCACTTGCTTTCATTCACTCCTACCTAACACGCTCACACATGCTTGCTGGATGTTTAAGTCCCTCACTTACAATAACCTCCTCTACTCCCTCTTTCCAGCCTTTCCTAAGACGACATCTACCTTGCCTTCCCTCCATTACAGATTTATACATCCTACAAGTCATTCTATCCTTTCTAAATGTCCAAAGCACTTCAACAATCCATCTTCAGCCCTCCGGGTAATAGTTTTAGTAACCCCACACCATCTAATCTCCAAGCTACGAATTTTCTGCATAATATTCACGCCACACATTGCCCTCAGATACGACATCTCAACTGCCCTCTCACCTCCAGGATTCAAATCTGGTTAATTGGTTCCTGAATCCCTTCATAATATATATAGATATAGTAGAGATATAAATAAATAAATATAAATGAATGAATAAAATTTAAATGAATGAATAAGTGACTGAAGTGACTTACAATGAGGGTTCATTTGTTTTACTATTTATAAATGTTTGAAGTTGCTGTGCACGACATGCGGCCCGTGGGCGGCAGTTTGCCGACCCCTGGTATAGTATATAGTGCAGTTGTCAGACATATAGGAAAATTTTCTATTAGCATAGTTTTACACCACTAAAGTTCTATCTTCAATCTTTCCGAAACAGTGACAACCACCACCACAGAAAATAGTGCTCATGTATATACTGAGTGGCAGTAGATTTCAAGGTAGTCAGTGTTGAAGAGTTACTGACATCTGCAGCAGCCCTTTAGTGCCTCACAGATTTCAATTAGTAAATTATATGAAACCTTTCAAGCTTTTAATATACAGAAAAAATGCATGTCTATACAATGATTCTAATACTAATACTGAATACTAGATATAGTCTCATTAGTGTGAAAGGATTAATAAAAAAAATGGAAAGTGAAGAGGCGGTTTTTTTCAAGAACATATACAATACAAACATACTTTAAAAAGCAGATACTCCAGTCACTCTGTTTAAATATAGTGCACACATATTTGCAGAATAATGCTGATAATATTTATACCCCTAGAAAACATTAGAAGCATGTCCACAGTAAACATATGTCTGGGACAGGAAGTCTTTGGTATACTGTGATCCTCCTAGGAGATTGTCCAAAAAATAATTATACTCACATCTAACAGAAGCCCTTAAAAAAGGATGGGCAGCAAGACATTAATCAACAGATGTTTACGTAGTGAGTTTAATATGTTAACAAAAACTAAGCAACTAAAAAAAAAAAAAAAAAAAAAATCAATCCAACTTCAAGCTGTGAGTGAAGCAGTAACAAGAAAACTGGAAGCTGGGATATACATATTACAAAGTTCTCTGGAAGGAGTAGCTACAAACCTTCAAAATCTCTCATCTTTGAGGCCTTGTTCCCTCTGGAAACTCACCAGAGGGAACCATCCTTCAAAGGTGACCATGTGTAGACCCTTCCCCACACGTATCAGATACCTTTAAATGTTAAAAAAAGACGGAGTGCCTGAAAAATATGCCAAGGAGCTCTACATACTGGTTAGGCTAATGCAAAGGAGCAGCTGATACCACTAGCATAAAATGAGAAACAAGATTGTGGACAAAGAGCAAGGCCTGGCCTCAACAAGCCCATGCATGAGAGAAAAGAATAGACAAGAAAAGTAAAGATAGAGAGCCTCAAGTATAAAATAAAGAAAAGGGGGAAACATTTATTGAAAGGGTAATGGAGAAGTGAAAAAAAATTAAGTTATTATGTACTATTCAATGTACTGAACAGCTGTTGGTGGAGTTTCTTCCCACCTTGTACGTACTTGCTTTTACAGCCAACTGAGGTCAATCTATTTATTACTACTGTATTGCAAACTATAAAGCTTTATAGTCGTAAAGCAGACAGAAGGTATCCTACATTTCAAGGAAAAAACTTAGCAAAAACTTATCTAAATTTCATCTTTAGAGAAACATACAGAGCATTTTCCTTTTGAAATACAAACCTGCGAACACCCCCTAAATATCTGTTATCGATGAAGAAGATAGGGCGCAGGGCACGAGTAACACGATACTGGGTGTCATTTCTCGCGATCACAACTATTGCCTCGATGATCATTCCCACCCAAGCCACTGTCTAAAGAAAAGTAGAGTAAAAAGAGATTACTGTCATAAAAACTCAAACCTCTTAAAACCCCACCCCCATCTAGAGAGATCCTATTCTCACCTGTACTACAACCTTTTATCTTATTTTATTAAATGTGTTTGAGACTAGGTCAATATTCAATAAATAATGTTAACAATCTCTCTAAATAGACAAGTAACAAAACACAGCAAAGAACATAATAAGAGTGGTTTATGGTAAATTACAAGTACATGAGCATACAAAAAACAAAATATATGTTCGGACAAATTTAGAAGAAAATATACATCTTACCGAACAAGCTTTTTTTGATATCACATTTTATTTTGCGTTGAGTTTTAACAAGTTATAAGTATAATATGCAAAACTCTACAAAAAGCGAAACCTCACCCTAATGATAGCCTGTTCTGAAAAGTGCGTATTCTCTTCACTACTGCTGGCAGTATGCCAATAAGATCCAAGTTTAGGAAAAACATAAATGAGCAATAAGAAGAGACACATGTATTGATAACCTTATGAGAACACCAGTATGTTTACGAGAGAAAAAAAAAAGAAATGTTTACAAGGAGACAGGTATTGCTTATGGTGTGACAGATGTGTTAATATTGTACTGCATTATACACCTACCATCCAACTTACGACCTGCTCGACTTACGACCGTGTTTTTTATGCCAAATTTCTGGGAAATAAACAACTATTTGTGTTGTACAGTGTTCATCCTAAACCTTACAGTATAAAATACAGCACTAACAGCATAAAAAGTAAAGTAAAACACGAAATACCAAAATGAAACAATAAAATAAAGTCATTACAAAAATGTTTTGTTGATATTCAGTAGTAAAGTTCGACTTACGACCATTTCGACTTACGACCGGTTTCTCGGAACCGAACTCAGTCGTAAGTCGGATGGTAGGTGTACATTTATAAAGATGAGACGTGTGTGAATAAGTTACGTGCAAAATCAAATGGAATTTTTGTAAACGTACTTTAACCATGGAGCGTTTATGCTTTACGAAGGTACGAAAGCCTAGCCACCGGAGCTGCATAACTATGGATATCCCAAGAAGAAAGAGGCCAAAAAGTTCGATGGAACCGTGAACCCCTACTGGAACTCCCTGAAGGTAATTTTGTGGATAAATATTAGAAAGATATTATATGTATTTTTTTTTTTAACAAGTCGGCTGTCTCCCACCGAGGCAGGGTGACCCAAAAAGAAAGAAAATCCCCAAAAAGAAAATACTTTCATCATCATTCAACACTTTCACCTCACTTATACATAATATATGTATGTATACTGCTCAAATATTAAAACTTTTAAGAAATCTACTTTAAAATATTAGACACTAAAATTATTGTTCAAAATACACACAAAAACTTTTATTTACATATGCTGGCATATTAGTCGACTTTTTAACCCTTAAACTGTCCAAACAGATTTACGTTCACATGCATAGTGCTCCCAAAGTAGATCTTTGGTTTTTTTACATATTTTCAAATACAAAAAAAAAAAAAAGTAAATCAAAGTTTTTTTTACACGTTTTCAAATGTAAAAAAAAAAGATCTATGTTTTTTTACATACTTTCAAATGTTGAAAAAACGTAGATCTACATTTGGACAGTTTAAGGGTTAAGCATAAAAAAACTATCCAAAACTAGGAGTTGATTAATATGTTGAATATATAAACTGGTGATACATGGCAGATGTTAAAATAAGGTGATGGCACATAGTGAAGGACGGAAGCCTAGTGATGCTAGCATGTTAGTACTATAACTTGTACCATACTTGCATGTTTTATTTCTTATTTCTCACCTATTTTTAATGAAAAGAATGTCATGTTTTATTAACAATAATACCTAAAATAAGAGGAGTATTAAGTTCATTTTGCCAGAAACATGAACAAAAACTGAACAACAATTATCTAAGACATTGGTTTTGACGTGCTATTAGGCTTTCTGTGGAGAGAGATGTTATGTATTTCAAACAGTTTTGCTACAGTGGCTGGTTGAAAACTACATTTACAACAGTCAAGTAATGAAAATTATAACTCAATAATCTGAGACTATATGTTTATCATAACAAATATAGAATGAAAGATTATGTTGTGCAAATTGTGATTTTTCAAAACTAGCAGTGAAACATGGGGGAATGGGATCAACCTATAGTGCAAATATGGCCTAAACTTGAATTAACGCCTCAAAACATTAGAGGTCAACTTATACACATACATACATACTGTACATACATACTGAATCTTACTAATACATAAAACAGTGGCCCCCGTTTAAACGACCCCTCCCAAAGGCCCAAATTATGTAAGTGTGTTTATGTAAGTGCGTTTTTTGTGTATGTTTGGGGGCTGAAATGGACAAATTACTTCAAAATTTTCCTTTTGGGGAAAAATTGGTCGTATGGCACCTGAAATACTTCTGGAATGAAAAAAAATTTTAAAAACGGGGTTCCACTGTAACTTTTTTAAAATAAATATATGTGGATCAAATACAGTTCTAAAAACAAATTATAATTAAAGGAAAAAATTTTAATAGAAAATCTTTCTAATATGTAAAAATAGTTGCCCAATAGAAAGAATAATCAGTATCTGTTCTCCCCAAAACCCGTGGAGGCTCTATGTTGCGAGCGACATGGGGCGAGCAGAAAAGAGGCCCAGAGAAAAAAAACCAACGGTTATGCGTAACAAGTATGCAGGAAGAGCATTTCGCTTTTGGGAGACTGTTAAATTTGTCATTATTTTCCCTTTTTAAAAAAAAATTAAATTTTCACTATTATAACCAAAAATGCATCATTACGCATGATGCATATATATTTTATTTTTTATATTATATATATATAATATATATATATTATTAATTATATATATATATATATAATTATAATATTACTGCATATATTATATATAATTTTTTATAATATTCATGGGTAGTAGGTGGTAGACGCAACCGCCCAGGGAGGTATCCGTCCTGCCAAGTGAGTGTAAAAAAAACCCTTAATTGTTTTACATGAGGGTGGATTGTGGTGTCCTTTTTTTGTCTCATGAAATGCAAGATTTCAGGTACGTCTTGTCTTCTCTTAACTTGGTCACATACACTACATGTACAAGACATATTACACACCCCTTGGGGTTTTCTTCTATTTTCTTTCTAGTCTTATTCTTGTTTATTTCCTTTATCTCTGGGGAGTGTGAACAGAATTTCTCCTCGTAAGCCATGCGTTGTAAGATAAAGCACTAAAATGCCGGGAAGCAGGTGGGCTAGTATACCTCTTCTCTGATATATTTACTAAATGTAAAAGAAAACTTTTCGTTTTTCCTTTTGGGCACCCCGCCTCGGTGGGATACGGCGTGTGTGTTGAAAGAAAAAATATATATATATATATATATATATATATATATATATATATTTATATATATATATATATTATGATATATATATTATATATATATATATATATATATATATATATATATATATATATATATATATATATATATATATATATATATATCTACACGTTCATTCATCGTTACTGACCAGATCAAACCATGCTCAACCTGGCTGACCGAGTGACACACAAGATCAGAAAGAGGCAAAGATGAGGAGTCCTGAGATTTACGTCTGTCCCTCTGTAACAGCACCACAGATGGTACGAGAATTTTCCAACTTTATTTTATACTTATGTACTTGATTGATCAATTTATTTCCAATTAATGTAGTCTATGATAAACTTTAATAAGACAATCATTCATTATACAGTACAATATAATAATAATTCACATCATTCATTATACAATATAATAATAATTCACATTCACTCTCTACTATTTTAATGCTAAGATTTACAAGTCATACTTCTACTGACATAAATGTGGATATTCATACCTCTAAAAATATTGCAGCTTCATGGTAATTCATCTCCCAACTGCTCGCAACAAAATTGGGAGGTGAATAACTAACATTTTCTTGTAGTTCTTGGTACTCACTAGTGTCAGAGTCCACACTAGTATTGCCAAGCTCATTAGGGGCATCCAAATGCTTTTCTTGACCATTCGCACTATCAGCTGATACTGAGACTGAAGGAAAATTTTTAAATTTGAAGTAATTAAGAACCTACATTCAAGCCCTTATGCAGTAATATAAATAATGGATTTAAACTAAGTAATCCTAGATTAAGTAAGTAGGCTCTATGTGTCCTACCTGCATGCCTATGTTATGTCTATGATTCAAAACATAATTTAATACATAAAAACATTAATACTGAGGATTATAGCCTAAATAAACATCAAACTTTTTTCTAGCATGTATACTGATGACTGTAGCCAAAAATAAACATCGTAGTTTGTTTTCTAACTGATTATTATAGCCTAAATAAACATCATACTTTTTCTAACATTTATACTGATGATTGTAGCCTAAATAAACATCATACTTTGTTTCCTAATTATTATTATTATTATTGTAATCAAAAAGAAGCGCTAAGCCACAAGGGCTATACAGCGCTGCAGGGCAGGGAAGGAAGCGAGGGTATTGGATGGCAGAAGGGAGGAGGGATGATCAGTAGGTTACAGAAAACAGCGGGGCAGGGGATAGTACGGGGGTAGAGGGTAGCAAGAGATTGAAGTAGAAAGGGCTGAAGGTATCAGAATTTGTGAAGTAAGTCAGTTGTTGTCAAAAAGTCAATGAGAGAGTCCGGATGAAAGGTAGGTCCATCAGCGAGAAGGGAAGGTAAAGAGAGAGCAGCGGAGCGAAGACGACGATGGAGGTAAATTCTGCGTGCTCGTTGATAAAGTGGGCAGTCCAACAGAATGTGGCTGACTGATAATGGAGCTTGGCAATTCTCACAGAGAGGAGCAGGGCGCCTCTCCATGAGATATCCATGAGTAAGACGAGTATGGCCAATGCGAAGACGGGAGAGAGTAGTCTCCCAACCTCGACACTGGTGATAAGAAGACGGCCAGTAACCTATACTCGGTTTAATAGATTGAAGTTTGTTGCCGAGCATAGTAAACCAACGTTGTTGCCAACGAGTGTGAAGGTGGGAAGATATTGCAGCAAAATAGTCCATAAATGGAATACCTCTATATGAAACTGGTAGGTCATGTACTGCTGACCACGCAGCAGTGTCTGCCTGTTCATTGCCCTGTACGTCAACATGACCAGGGACCCAACAAAAAACAATATCTTTATGCTTGGTAAAGATGCGGCGTAGCCAAAGTTGGATACGGAGGACTAAGGGGTGAGGTGTATCAAATTTCTGTATAGCCTGTAAAGCACTAAGGGAGTCTGAGACAACCACAAATGATGACACAGGCATAGATGCAATATGGATAAGTGCTGCAAGGATGGCATACAATTCAGCAGTAAAAATACTAGCCGAAGATAGTAAATGCCCGCGTACGACGCTGTCCGGAAACACTGCTGCGAATCCTACGCCGTCAGAAGACTTAGAGCCATCTGTGTACACAGCAATGGCATGAGAATGAGAGTGGAAGTGGTCAAGAAAAAGAGAGCGGGAAGCGACCATAGACAGTTGGGCTTTCGAGCAAGGGAGAGAGAAAGAACAGACTTGAACAGCTGGAACTTCCCAGGGAAGTAGGGAAAAGTGAGATGCTACATGAACATAGAAAGGTGGTAATTGAAGAGAAGACGAGCGAATGAAGGCGAAGAGAGAAGGGATGGAGTAAACAGGGGCGGCGAACAAATAAAGAATGTCTACTAATATCAGTGACCATTCTATAAATGGAAGGATTGCGGAGATCATGAGAGCGTACATAGTAGCGAAGGCAATGGGCATCACGGCGATCGGATAAGGATGGAACGTTCGCTTCTGCATAGAGGCTCTCGACAGAGGAAGAGCGAAAAGCACCAAGGCATAAACGTAATCCTTGGTGATGAATGGGGTTAAGGCTAGAGAGAGTAGCAGGAGATGCCGCTGAATAGATCTGTTCACCATAATCAAGTTTCGATAAAATGAGGGTGGAATGTAGGCGAAGGAGGGTTCGACGATCAGCTCCCCATGAAAGATGAGCAAGGGTTTTAAGAAGGTTCAGCCTGCTGTGACAAGTTGCCTTCAGAGAGGTAATGTGAGGTTTCCAGGATAACCTACAGTCAAAGAGGAGGCCCAGAAACTTGACTGTATCACGTTCAGGGATATGGGAGCCATAGAGGTACAAAGGATGATCGGAGATGACAGAGCGTCTAGTGAAAGTAATTTGGTGGGTTTTAGTGCTGGAAAATTTAAACCCATGTGTGGTGGCCCAATTGGAAACACGGTCGACTGCATGCTGGATAGAAACTGTAATGAGGTGACAGTCAGCGCCTGCACAGGCAATAGCGAAGTCATCAACATAGTGATGACCAAATATTTGATGGAAGACTAGAGGCCAAATCATTAATAGCA